CCAGAGAGGGCAGCTTTCTTTGGGAGTTTTTGATCAACACATGTACTGGCTTCTGCAGCAGCAGGCTGAAACATATAAGGCAAACAGAAGGGTCTGGAGTATATATGAGGCAGACAGAGGGGTCTTGGGGACTCCACTCTGTGTTGTTCCTGGGGTCCCTAGAAAGTCTGTCTTCGTCTTCTTGTGTTTGCTATGTATATATATAAAGTGTCCTTTTTGGTCTTTTGTTTTGTGGTACTAGGGGTCAAACCCAGGGGTGCTCCATGGTGGAGCTATACCCCCAGCCCTTTTCATTTCTTGCAACAAAGTCTTGCTAAGTTGCCCAGGATAACCATGCATTGTGATCCTCCTGCCTCAGCCTCCTGAATAGCTGGGATCACAGGCATATACCACCATGCCTGGCTGTCTAGGGTTTTCAGTTTTACTTGTTAGGAGATAAAAAACACTTCTAGTCCATCTTTCCAAATGCAGGAACCAGAGGAATAGCTTGCTTATCTATCTATCTATCTATATATCTATCTATCTATTTATTTATTTATTTATTTATTTATTTATTTATTTATTGTCTTTTTGAGACAGGGTCTTGCTATGCAGTTCAGGCTGGCCTTGAGCTCACTTTGTAGCCCAGGCTGGTCTCGAACTTGCAATGATCCTCCTGCCTCCGCCTTCCAAGTGCCGGGATGACAAGCGTATGCCACCACGCCTGGCTAGGAATAGCTTTTAAAAAGGCATTAAAATTGCTTCATTTTCAAGGGCTTCCTAATGCTACTAGGGTAAATCCCAAGTTTCTTAATGGGAAATCAGATGTCATCTGGCTTGGCCATGGCCCACCCTTGACATACCTCACACCCCCCACCCCCCAGACACACTGCAGCCATACCGGCGTTCTTGCTGCTTCTTGAATATCCTAAACCTTGCCAGGTGTTATGGCCTAGATCCAAAGAGGCTCCCGAGGCCCCTGCGTTGGAGGGGACTGGATGTGGGGTGTGATAAGTGACTTGCTGTTAGGTGGGGCCTGGTCGGAAGAGGTGGTCCTGGGGGTCATGACCTGGAAGGCTGTGTCTCCCCTCCCTGCTCCTTCCTTGGCTCTCTCTCTCTCTCTCTCTCCCTGCTTCTGGGACACCAGGAAGTGAGCAACTCTCCTCCGCCAGGCCCCTGTGCCATCCTGTCCTGCCTGGGAGCCGTGAGTCACAATCATCCTCTCCTCCTTTGAGCTGTGGGTGTCGGGTATGACGTCCCAGGCATGAGGACAGTGACTGAGACGCCAGGCGATGAGACCCTGTGGGATGTGTGAGCAAGGACTCTGGTGTCAAAGGACCTGCCGTGAGTGACCGAGGGACCGAGAGCCTCCTCACCTGTCACAGGAGGCTGAGAGGACCACCTGTGTCGCCTTAGGTGGTGTTTGAGATGGTGAGGAGGATGAACGCTTGGAACCTGCTTACCTGTGTCACAAAGTCCCTGAGAGCTACACCCGGCACAGTGCAGGCGCCGCAGCTGTATTAGGTCTGTGACTGGCCGCACCCCCGCCCCTGCCCTCTGCCCCTGCTCCGGGAGTCGCCTGTCCTCGCCTTCTTTCTCCACCCTGGCCCCAGGAGTCTTCCAGCGCTCACTGGGGGAGCTTTCCGGGCACACTCACCGCGCTCGCCCGGGTCATTTCTCTGACACCCGTCCTGCAGTGCCCCTTTCACCATCCTGCAGCGGCCTGCTGACTGACCGCTGGTTCACTGTGTGTCTGCTTCCACCTGGACACTGGCTTCACGAGGAGCAGGGCCGCATCTCTTATTTATGGCTCTAGCCGGGGCGTCCGAAGTGGAACCTGCACATGGTAGCTCTCTGTGGCTGCCGCTGGAACAGATGGGAGATGTGAGCTCTGCTGCCATTATGTGCTTATTACAGTAGCAGTCACTTAGGTTAATTTTTGGCTTTCATCTTTAGATTTTTCCTTTCCTTTCCTCCCCTCCTCTCTCTTTCTCTCTCTTTCCCTCTACCCTATCCTTCTCTCTTTCTCTCTCACTCTGTCTCTCTGATAGGGCTTTCCTAAGCTGCTAAATTGCCCAGACTAGCCTGACTCAGCCTCCCAGAATGGCAATGTGTGTCTCACTGTAGTAAATTTTTTAAAAAAGGAAACACGATATATTTTGATCACACCTAGGCCATAGATAAGTCCGAGATCTTCAGTAAGAAAAGGTGACCATCACATTTTGCCTGGTCTTTCTCCCCGGACAGAGGGCCACAGGTGTGCACACTGCCAAACCTTTTTTTTTTTTTTAACTTTTTGGGAAGGTAAGCTTCCTGACATGGGTTTGTTAGGCCAAAGGATGTGCACCTCGCCTCTGGGACAGCACACATGAGTGTGCTGGTCTTCTGCCCTTTTGACTTGAGGCTTTAGGAGGAAAAAAAGGCCCAAACAAAATTTCTTTTGCTGTCACTTTTTTCATTTTTAGTTTTTTTTTTAATTAATGTATGTCTGTGACACATAATAATTGCGTTCATCTTGGGGAATTGGTACATATACACATCAAAGAATCTAAAATACCCTCCCCTCCTGTGTTTTAAATGTCAATTATCCTATCCTACCTTGCAGATAGGAGATTGAGGGGGTGGTGGGCTGAACCCTTCCCCACAGCCTGCACAGTAAGGGGCACTTCCAGCTCGAGGCGCTGCTCTTCGCTGACCAGGAAGGTGACCTTTTGTCCCTGCCCCTCCCCGTGCCCCCGGGCAAGGGGACATTCTGAGATCTTGCCCCACCTAGTGATGGGTGGCACTAGCTGGCCTGGGGTGGGGGTGGCAGGTGACATCGACTGGTGAGCCCTCCGCGGCGTTCCGTCTCCTGCTCTGCACTGCAAGCTCAGCTCTGGGACGTCATCGGGCAAGTCAGGCAGATCTGCCCTCTCGCGACGGGTGGGGGGGCCCAGCAGGGCCTTCCCTGAGGCCCTCGGCACAGGAGCTGCACCCTCAGAGCCCTGTTCCACCAGGTTAGGCTCACCCTGCAGGTCTCCCTGCCGCCTCCCAAGCTCAAGCTCCAGTTTTCACAGCGCTTGCAGAATCAGCAGCACCAAGTTCATGGTGCACGAACCACCCAAGGGGCTCATTAAGAACGCCAATCTCAGCTGGGCGTGGTGGTGCATGCCTGTAATCCCAGCCCTCGGGAGGCTGAGGCAGGAGGATCCTTGCGAGTTCGAGACCAGCTTGGGCTACAAAGTGAGCTCAAGGCCAGCCTGAACTGCATAGCGAGACCCTGTCTCAAAAAGTCCAAAAAGAAAAAGAACATCAATCTCGGACTACAGGAAATTGGAAGCCTGTTGAGATATTCAATATTAAGGAATTATTGCTGAATTTTAAAAGTGTCCATGAGCGTGTGACTGCGTGCACGTGTGTGTGTGGAGTTTAGGAAAGAATTGTTATCTTGTAGAGATCTACACTGATCTAGTTTGAGAGGAATAAAACTGTGTATGGGATTTGGTTCAGAGTAATCAGGCGAGGCCGAAGAGGGCGGGGCACGGGTGATAGCAGAACTAAACAGTGATGAAGTTCACTGGTGGGTGCTTGTCCTATTTTCTGTATTCTTGCACATGCTTAAATTTTTCCATAACAGCCAGTGGTGGTGGCGCAGGCCTGTAATCCCAGCACTCAGGAGGCTGAGGCAGGAGTTGGAGGCCAGCATAGGCTACATAGGGAGTTCAAGGCCAGTCTGAACTACACAAAGAGACCCTCAAAAAAATTTTTTTCCATAACAAAAAGTAAAAAAATCCCTGCTACAGGCATACATTTTTCAGGTATCCCCAAGTATCTGCAGGTGGGGGGCTGGCAATCCCACCTGGAGAGATTGCTCTGGAAAGGAAATGTCAATACAGGAGGCTGCTGTGCTCACCCCTGAGTCCAAAGAAAGTGCACCTGATTGGCTTTCGCTTGCCCCTCGCTGTCTCTGCCAAATACGCGGTGTGACCAAAATATACAGTGAATGCTTGAATTACTTCAAAAAATTACCACAGTAAAAGACACATTGCCATGAACCCCCTCAAAATACTCCTCCGTGCATCAACCACTCTTGTTTTGTTTTTTTTGTTTTTGTTTTTGTTTTTTTTTGGTTCAGGGAATTGAACGCTTGCCAGGCAGGCGCTGTGCCGCTGAGCTATATCCCTGGCCGGCATCAGTCACTCTTATCCGTTGTCCTTGTCCCTTTCTGCAGCAGGTCTGCAAGTCCTTTTTCATGAGTCTTTAGCTGTGCTGTCCTGGCTGCTGAGATGTCCTGCATGGATTTGAAACATTGACCTTTCCTGGTCATTTTGACTTGGGGAAGAGCTAGAAGTCACATAGCACCAGATCCGGGGATGAGGTGGGTGAGGACACGGCGTCATGTTTTTACGAGCCTGTGTTCCGTTGGATGACGCTTAGCGGCAGCACTCACTGACTTTCTGATCACACCTTATAGAGACACTCATAAAAGAGGAGTTCCAGAGCTGCTTCAGAAAGAGGCCAGAAAGATAGGACAAGTGTCTCTGAAGTGAGGGGGAGTGTTTGAGGGAGGTGAATGGCAATGTGTCTTTCACTATTACAATCTTTATTAAATGTAAACACTGGTGGTATATTTTGATCACCCCAGTGATCCTCAGTAAGAAAGGGGTGACTATCACCTAGCCCTGTCTTTCTCCCCAAGCCACATGAGAAGTTAAATTTTAGACTCTGGGTATTTATAAGAATCCATCTGCCTAGTTTGGGAAGTGCATTGGAGAATAGTGGTAGAGAGGATGGTCAGCAAGACACTTTCTTTTCCCAAACTGCTGTTCCGTGTCATTTCAGTCTTACAGTCTGAAGGACTGTTTTGGGGTGGTCAGTAGAGACAGACTGTGATGTCTCCAGGGCCCTTCTGAGGCCCTAGAAACCTGTCCCCGCCCTCGGTTCATCTAGGGGCAAGTCACCCTCTAGAGAGAGCAATGCCCGTTTCCCGGTGGGGGCTCAAGGTCACGCACAGCGGATGGCCAGTGAGTGGGCAGGAGCTGAGTGGCGGGCGGGCGGGGCAGGTTCCTCACCTGCAGCGGTGGCTGTGTTGATACAACGGAGCGGCCCGCCCGCCCAGGGAGAAGGAGCTGAGGAGCAGGGTGAGGCCGCGGCTGGGAGGGAGGCGCAGAGGTTGCGCCTACCTGGGCCCTGGCCACTCCCCAGCCACTGAGGACTGAGGCTGGAAGGTGTGGCAGGGGAATCCCAGTCCCAGTCCCAGCCCCAGGCTGACGCCCGCCCGGCCAGAGCCAGCGCCTGACCAGAGCCAGCGCAGAGCAAACCTGGGTAAGAAGTTTCTCTTTGCTGTGAGCTTTGGTTTACAGAAAGCTTGGGCTCTGTGTATCAGAGAGGATGATATGAGGCTTGGGGGTCTAATGGCAGAAATGGGGGACCAGGCTGTGATGGGTGCTACCGGGAGAACTCGGCAGGGTCCTAGCTCCAGCAGGAGCTGGCCAGGGGCACGTGGAGACGTTCTGAACTGAGAGTCCTGATGAGCACTGTCCTAGTGTACCAGCAGGCTCAGTCCCTGAGCAGGGCAGGTGGTGGTGGGGAAGGCTTAGGGGAAGAGGAGTGTTCTTCTACCAGGCTGGTGGGATGATGGCCTGGGCTGGGGGAGTGGGGGTGGGGAGGAGGAGATTGAGGTTCCAAGCCTCCAAATGCAGGGAAAGCATAAGCAAAGGCCCTGAGGTAGGCACAGGTGTCTGGAGAACAGTGTGAAGAGAGGTGGAGCTGGAGAAGACAGGCCAGATCCCTCCTGGAACCAAGACAATGCAAGGCCCAGGGCCAGTGCCCTGCCCACCCCTCTCCTGCTCTCACACGGACTTCAGTTTAGTCACTGAAAGGAGTGCTCGGCTCTGTCCCTAACCTGGACGTGCCCTTCCCTGCCATCTGCTCCAAAAGACACTAAGGGCCGCGGTCCCTTTGGCGCTAGTCTTTGATGGTCTATTTGGGTGTGGGCTGGGAGCCACAAACGGCCACACAGAGCTCACCGGCCGCCCTGGATGCTGTGGGTGGGGCAGCTCAGAGAGCCAGGGTGCCGGGGCTCTCCTCTCCGCGCACAGGGGGGCTGTGGCCTCTGCTAGCACAGAGCCAGCTGGCGTCTGGCTGCCTTGCCGAGAATCCCACATCTGCAGAGCTGGGCATGAGTGTCTTGGATTTTGGGTTTTGCAATGTTTGCATGTACGTGGTGAAAGGCCTTGGGCACAAGACTCCGGTCTTAACACAGAACCCGCCTGTGTTTCTCGAACGCCTTCTGCGCACAGCCTGGAGGGAACTTGGGGTGACAGACACTCGCAGAGCGCCTGAGACTCTGACCCAGCACATAAAGTCACGTGTGGACTTATCGTGGTATCATGCTGCGGCTCCAAAAGTCTCAGATTTTTGCAAGTTTGGATTTTGGACTTTTGGATGAAGGATATGTTGATGGCCCTGCTCAGGGGTGGGTCTTTCAATCATTTTTTAAATTGGTGGTCATCAGGCATACGTGACTAGATGTTGTGTTTTTTTTTTTTTTTTTTTTTTTAACCGGAAATTGAACTCAGGACCTTCTGTTTGCCAGGCAGGCACTTATGCCACTGAGCTATATCCCTAGTCCCCATGACTAGATGTTTGGGCTGTGAGTTACAGGCAGCTGGACCAGCTGGCAGGGCTTTTCCTAAAGATCCTTCTTCCACACACTGGATATAGATTTATTCATCCCTGATCTTGCACAGGGATCCATTGAATTCCTGTTTATTTCATCATCCTCGCTAGTCTAGATCCACTTGTTACAGTTATTATTTTTAATGCCTAAGAAACATCAGTGTGCACGTATTTTCCCATACACACCCAGGTTTGTCTAGATAAATAACGGTGGAAAGCATGGCTCATGAGTATGAATAATATAAAATTCAATAAATATTGGCAATTTCTTCTCGGAAAAAGCTGTAAGAAATTTACTGGTCAGCTTCTAATGTGTGAAAGGGCCTGCTTCCTCCATAACTGGAGTCTTTAAACCATATATTTTTTTCTTTAGTGCTGGGGATGGAACTCAGAGCTAAACAAACCCAAAAGAACCCAAATGCACATGCTTGGCATGGGCCCTACCACACCCCCAGCTCTTTAATCATATGTTTTAATCTTCGGCCCAACTGATAGAAGATGGAAAATGCTACCCTGTAATTCTTTATATTCTTTAAATCAGGAGGGATGCTTGTTGGATTTTAATTTTTAACTAAAAAAAAATTTAAGCTTTTTGCATATTTATTACCTTAAATATCCTCCCTCCTCTCTCTTGCAGGCCAAGGCTGGACCAAGATGGGGTCCGTGTTCCGCAGCGAGGAGATGTGTTTGTCCCAACTCTTCCTCCAGGTGGAGGCTGCCTATTGCTGTGTAGCTGAGCTCGGAGAGCTTGGACTGGTTCAGTTCAAAGATGTAGGTACTGCATTCTTTGGAAGGAGGGTGGGGTAGGAGTAGATAACTCACAACGCTTCCTTCTGCAAGGAGAGGAGCCTGAGTTGGAATAGCTGGAATTCTATGGTTCTGGTCTTACAGCCAGGAGTTAGAATGCCACTGAACATGTCATTTGTGAACATGTTCTTCCCCCATGCCTGTCTCCTTTGCAGGAATGTTTGGAAGCTCTAATGCCACCACTCATGGGAAATGTCACTGCACTTTATTTCCTGTGTAGCATCTTCAAACCTTAGATATAGCCCGTGGGCATGCAGACTGCCAGGCCTTTTCCTAAGGACAGAAACCTATTTTCTCTGACTAGTCAAATAAAGGCAAAACTCCATGGAGACCACAATCAGGTGTGATATCCAAGGCTGAGCTTGAGAGTGGTATTCTAGGGCTACACTGCCTTGAGCCTGACATGGTGGTATCACTTCCCAGGGGTACTTAATAGTCTTGCCAAGCTCTTAGGGAGTGCAGTTTTAAAAATCAGTCCTTTTACTTTTCTCCTCGCCAAGGTCAGGGGGAAGGTCAAAGCTGAGTTTCTTCAGGAAAGGATCAAGAGAACAAGTTCTTGGCATCCCCAGTCTCTGGCACAGGGCCCAACACGAGGCAGGTCCTCGGTAACATTTATTGGGCTAAGCTGGGGCTCAGCAGCTCCTGGGCTGGATTTTTGTTGTTGGCCATGATACTACACGGAGCTGGGCAGTTTCCAAGGTCCACTCATATTGGTGACCCCATGGGAAGAGTTCAAGACTCATTTGGATAGTCACTGCAGGTGAAAGTTAGGAAGCCAAGACAGACGTGTGGCTGAGGCAGGAGGATCACAAGTTCAAGGCCAGTCTTGGATGTGGGAGGGCTTTGTGTCTCCTAGCAATGGGAGGGCCTGGGCTGGGGCATTTTCAGGACTGAGAGTCCAAATGCCAGTATACACTTTGTCTGTAATACACTGCTTTTGCACGGAACTATCTGTCCTAAGACAATTCTAGCAGCATTCCCGGCATTAGAAAGACCATGAGATGCCCAGAGGATGCTGGCAGCTGGTGCACCTAACGAGCGGCTTGTGCTCCCCCCACCCAGTTAAACGCGAGCGTGAACAGCTTCCAGCGGAGATTCGTGAACGAGGTCCGGAGGTGCGAGTCGCTGGAGAGGATCCTCCGTAAGCCACCTGCGCCTCGCTGTCAGTGTGAACTGGCAAGGGTGGAAGGAGTTACAACAGGGCTTCGTGGGCCGATGTGCTCCTGTTCACGATGCTCTTTGGGGTGGTCCAGGGGGCAGGCGTGAGGGGCTGAGGAGGGGCCGGGGGCCCGGGGCAGTGTAGGCATCGAGCATCGGAGAGGCACCCTCAGGGGCACCCTCGCCCACCCTGTGCTCTTGGGGGTTCGTTCTCAGGTTTTCTGGAAGATGAGATGCAGGATGAGATTACAGTCCAGCTGCCCGAGAAGTACCCACAGACCCCGCTGCCCCGGGAAATGATCGGCCTGGAGGTGAGTTCTGCGCTGTTCGGTTTCAGCGGCTAAGGGCAGTCACAGAGCCTGGCTCCGGGGACCTCCGAGAGCCGCGCCTGGGTCTTTCACTTGGCGGCCACAGGCGACAAAGCAGGTTCAGGTGGCTGTTACTTTTCAGGGTCGCCAAGTCCCAGTGGCAAGTTTTAGGGCCACTCCCTCTGAGCTGGAGGAGAGTTGTTTTTCTTTCTTTCTCAGCACAGGCCCTGGGAGGCTCATTCCATTGAAAGGGTGGGGTTGTTGTTGTTGTTGTTTTTGAGGTTTTTGGGTGGATTTGGGCAGGTGAATGCAGGAGGAGCGGGAAGCTTTCTAATTATCTCCTGGGGGCAAAGCAGCTGATGAATTGGCCTTTTCTATCAACCATTTCTTGTTTTTTTGTGTTTTGGTTTTGTTTTTTTTTTTCATTTTTTTGCCACGCTGGGGCTTGGACCCTGGGCCTCGTGCATGCAAAGCACACACTCTACCACTGACTTGCACCCATTGTAACTGGGTGTGGTGACACGCCTGCAATCCCAGCACTCTAGGAGGCTGAGGTGGGAGGATTGCAAGATTAAATCTGAGCTGGGGAATTTAGTGAGATCCTGTCTCAAAATAAACAGTAAAAAGGGCTGGAATGTAGGTTAGTGCAAAGACCCTGGATTCAATCTCTAGTACCGCAAAGGAAAAAAACTTGTGTATCTACTTTGTGCAGGGCACCTTGGAGAGAAACAAGTATGGCTGCTCCCCACAGCTTAGGAGCAGGTGAGGGAAGGTAGGGGGAAGGGCCAGGCCATGGGAGATGACGTCAAAGAGGTAGGCAGAGCTGACCACTGATGACCCAGGGATCTTAACAAAGGTTTGGATATATCTTCAGAGGAGAAGGGGCTCACTGAGGGGGAGGCAGTAAGGGGAGGAACTGTATCAAGCCTGCCAATTTGTCGGCCTGTGCTTTATTTTTCCTTCCTTCAAATTTTTGAAATGTATGAAGCCCATCACTTGTATAAATCTTGACACTCTACTAGAAGGACTCTTCCAGAAGATACTGGGGATCTTGTCGTATTAAAATGTGGATGAGGCCGGGGATGTAGCGCAGTGGCACAGCACCTGCCTGGGAAGCACAAGGTCCTCAGTTCCATTCCCTGTCCAAAAAAAAATGTGGATGTTGCAGGAGAAAGCTTTTCACCAACGTAAATAGGAGCCCCCACCCCGGTCACCTCCAGGTTCAGCCTTGTCCCTGTCTTTTATTATTATTATTATTATTATTTTGTCTTTTTGAGACAGGGTCTCACTATGTATTCAGGCTGGCCTTGAGCTTACTTTGTAGGCCAGGCTGGCCTCGAACTTGCAATGATTCTCCTGCCTCAGCTTCCCAAGGGCTGGGGTTACAGGCATGTACCACCATGCCCAGCTTCGCCCCAGTCTTTTAATGCCAGTCTGGAATTCGCAGCCCTCCTACCCACACTGCTTCACCAACTTTTTTTTTTTTTTTGGTTTTTCTCCGGTACCGGGAACCGAACTCACGACCTTGCGCTTGCCAGGCAGGCGCTTTGCCGCTGAGCTAAATCCCCAGCCCCTTGCTTCACCAACTTTAACCCCACCAGTTCCTGAGGTCTGGGAGATGTCATCCTGGCTTGCACATTTGCCCTTGTTCTGATGATGCACAAGGCATGGCCTTATCCATTCCAATCTGTCTGCTGACTCCACCTGATTAACTTCCAGCCCGGTATGGCCTGGTCGTGTCACTCCCTGCTCAAGAATGTACGCTGGCCGCCTGCTCCCCTGTGCCTGATCTGGCCACCTCCAACTGTCCCAGCCCAGTGGGTCCCGTCACCCTTGTTAACCATTACTGGGAATCCCAAGGAGCTTTTCTTGTGTGGACTGTAGTTACCGCATTTATTACATTTGGGAACTAAAATGACAAACACTGTAAAATATATATTAATGTGTCTGAAAATAATATTTCATTAGCATAGGTCGGGGCGGCGAACCTATGGCACGTGTGCCTCAGTGGGCTGTTTATATCACTGAAAGCTCTAAAAGGTTCGCTACCACTGCCATGTTATCACGGTTAAAATACAATTTTAAAAATTATTTTCTAGGACAAGAACCTTCATGGGGAAGAGTGTTGGTACTTACACATTTCTTAACTGTGTGGCTTTAATAGAAGACAGCTGGTTCACATGCCTCCTTTTACCTTGAATCTGTTGTGATATGTTATTTTCACCAATGTATGTGAAAGTAATTTAGCCTCACACAGATATGTGGTTGGAAAGGGGGGAATATTTTAATAGCTATTTCAAAGAGCTGTATTCTTCTGTGATAGCATGTTGAAACATGCCTGATTTTGGTAAACAAGTAATAAGTATTTATATTTTCAAACTGAAATAGTTCTATTTCTTTTCTTCTTTCTTTCTTTTTTTTTTTTTTGGTTTTTCTGCGGTACTGGGAATCGAACTCATGACCTTTCGCTTGCCAGGCAGGTGCTGTGCCACTGAGCTAAATCCCCAGCTTCCAATAGTTCTATTTCTAATAGCTTGAAAAGGCAATTCATCCAGCTGATTAGCATGAGTGAATCAGTTTAATTGTCTTTTCAGTGAAGCCTTCTCCAACCATAGTTATGTATGATGCACGGATTCTAAGCTTTAGCATTCCAAGTTTCTATTATTAAGTTTTGTCTGATATTAATAAGCTTTCTTGGGGAAAAGGGAAACTAACATTTACATGGATAGCCTTGTTATTGTTTACATTTTATCTCTCCAATAAAGGTATTCCCTTAGTTGGATTTTCAAAAATCTAGGATAATAATCTCTTTTTAAATAGGTGACCTTAATCCATTTCCACTCATCGTAATTATAGTTTGGTTTCCCGTTGTCATTGCCCGACCACTCCTGCAGCCCTGAGATTGCCCCCAGCCCTCCCTGACGTCCTTGGCCTGACAGCTGTGTAGGCTGCAGCTACACAAAGCATTCCAAGGCACAGCCCTAGTAGATTCATTCATCTCGTTAACATTTCAAGATCCATACTTTGTAGATTTTTTTCTCATAAAAGCTACTCCTACTTCAGTTATCATCCCTTTGCAGACTGATTTTGCTTTTGTTTTATGGTTTTACTATAGGATGTTTAAGTATAGATTTGTTTGTAATTGCTGTTTGCTACATACTCGATTCATCTAGTAGAATTTTTATAAACTTTTGTGCACGGTGTAAAGAATCATGATCCAGCAAACACCAAGTGTCTATTGCCTGGTGAGAAGTGAAAGGAAATGGAGGTGATGATCTCCAAGACCTCTGCAGGCCCATTCTTACTTCACTCCTTCTTTCCCTTTGGAATAACTGCCATTCTGAATTTTATATTTCCTTTTCTTATTCTTCAGTTTTAGCAAATACTCTTCTAAATAACATATGGGTTAAAATTACAAGCTTAAAATTTGTTCTTATGTGGAACCATATGTATGTGTCTGTAACTTGCTATTTTCTTTCATCATTTTATTTTTAATAGACTATTTTACATTTCTAAAATTAATTCATTTTCACTTCTGTAAAGTGTTTTTACTGAATACCATGCCCTGAGCTCATTGTATTATTGATGGACTTTTGGATATGTTGTCTCTCATACTTTTTACATTATTTGCTAATCTCAGTATTGCAGTCACAAACTGTAGAGTTGATCCCATCTATTGGGTTTTGAATTTCAATAACTACTTTTTTATTTTCAAGATTTCCAACAGTTCTCCTTCTATACCTGCCTGTTAATTTATTTTAGGACATTATTGTTTAACTATTTCTTATTTTTCTTTTTAATGGAAGCAGTATTTTCATTTATCAATTTGTGCATTCAAAAAAAAAAAAAAAAACAAAGAGAAATAAAAAACAAATAAACCTGAAGGGTGCAGCTTGGTGACAGAGAACTTTCTTGATGTGCACAAAATCCTGGGTCTAATTTGCAGCACCACCAAAAGCAACTTCCCGAAAACACCTTTGAAATTTTTTTCAGATTATTCTGTAAAAATGACTTCATTGCTACATGATTGTGTATTCTGATTTTACTGGTGAGTTTTCAGATCATTAGATTTCATCACAGCCGTATTGTTTTTGAATGGTCACTTTGGAGAGAAAAACATTTTTCCCCCACTTGTTTTTGTCTTCTTGTTTTCTGTGTCCCCTGCCTGCCCTCCTTCATCCATGAAGCCTTCTTACTTGGTTCTTCAGATCCTCACTAGAACAGGGATGGCTTTTTGTTTTTTATTTTTATATTCTGTCCACCATTACGATGTGTTTGAAGCAGAGTTTTCAAGGTATTTCCTCTCTTTCATTTTTACCCCCAGTAATGGGCATTAAACCCAGAACCTTTATACTGACTTATGTCCCCATCCCTCTTTAAAAAAAAAAAAAAAAAAAAAAAAATTATTGGTAACTTACATGAGCTGGGCTTCAGCCTCTCAGAATGCCGGGATTACATTCATGTACCAGCACGCTTGGTTGCACTTTTAGTGTTGTAAGTGGGCAGGAGATCTTCGGTCCCTCACAAAGCTGCCTTCTGTCTTGCCGAGTAATGATGGAAATCTGGCGGTGGGTGCCTGGCCCTAGCTTGTGACCTATTAGTGTGGCACCCAGCTTCTAGCTGTGTTCAGATGCCCTGCATGCTCCTTTGGTGTTCAGTTATGAGTTGTGATTAGCATGTAGTAGGAATGTCATAGCACTTTCTGCCTGGCTTACTTTACCTTTTCCTCCCGCGTAGACAACCCTAGAGAAACTGGAAGGAGAGTTACAAGAAGCCAACCAGAACCACCAGGCTTTAAAGAAAAGCTTCCTAGAGCTGACAGAACTCAAATACCTCCTGAAGAAAACCCAGGATTTCTTTGAGGTCTTTTGGGGGGGATTTTTCATGAAAGGGCCCTTTCTTCAGCATCTCGAATTTCTGTTTTGAAAATTGGCTGATTTGGAATCTGAATAAAACACTTATAACCAGGCCTTTAGCGGGGGTGGAATAACTGTGGTACTCTTTGAAGGCAAAAACATTATGGTACTCATTAAAAAGTATGCGTTCAAAATGGCCCCAGCAGAAGAGGAAGTCAGAATAAAGAAGGGTATTTAGTTTGAGCAGATTTAGGGTTTTGGCCGGAAGAGACTAGGGAAGCTCTCTGATCTGCAAAGGGGCAGAACTGCTTGTTCAACTGTTAACTTTGTGCAAAATTAAAAGTTCATTACACACAGGCAAAACCTGGGGGTGTGGGGTGCTTTAAACACCCATACATTTAAATGACAACGGTGGTGCTTGGGCTTTCAGACAGAAGCCAATTTAGCTGAAGATTTCTTCACTGAAGACACTTCCGGTCTCCTAGAGTTAAGAGCTGTACCTGCGTTCATGGCTGGGAAGCTGGGGTTAGTATAACTCCCTGGGTTGTGTGCTAATGAGTCCCTGGTCATAGGTTTCCCCGAGTATTTGAGGGAACGAGTGAAAGCACCAATACCCACTGCAATGGGGAACCTTTCCCATGAGTACAAGCGCTCCATGCAGTAACAAATGTAAGGGGACCTTGCACGGTGGTGCAGTGGGGGTAGTGAGTGGCCAGTGGTTGACGGTGACCTCATGTCCTTTGGCCCAGATACTGCACAGTGTATATTGCACCCACTTGGGAAAGATGTGGAGCTTATTACTCAGATGGATCTTCTGTCTCTTCCTTGGCTTTGCAATATGGCTGGGAGTATATGCTTTTTCCTTGTCTTCAGAATACTACTTGGGTAAAACACATTTGGAGTTTGAGTTTGTGGGTAGAATTAGAAATGGTAGAGCTAGGCAGTCAGGTCATTCCCACACTGCAGTGATGCAGCGTGGTCCTCATGAAATTAAGCAGTGATTCAAAATACTAGGATTTCATTTCATGTCTCAGTGAAACGGATGGATTTTAAAGCATTTCTGAACATGGTAAGTTTGAGATGCTAATTTTTTATATGATAGATATTTGAGAGCCTGTGCTTTGAAGACATAGGCATGGAAATTTGAAATAGAAATAAAAATATTTATTGACAATATTTGATCCAAAGATAATACAGTACTGGTGTTTATTTATGTATTTATTTTTGTCTTTTTGAGACAAGGTTTCGCTATGCAGTTCAGGTTGGCCTTGAATTCACTATGTAGCCCAGGCTGGCCTCAAACTCAAAGCAATCTTCCTGCCTCAGCCTCCCAAGTGCTGAGATTACAGGCGTGTGCCACCACTCCCAGCCTTGATGTATATTTAAAGTAATAAACCAATGAAAGTGCTGTCTCAAAACAAAAACAAAAACAATGAAAGTCACTATTTTGAAGATCTTTGGACAAGTGTGGATCCGTACCTGGATGTTAGGCAGATAGAGATGCGTAGAAATCAATGTATGTATTTCCTTCTTAATGCACTAACTTTTTGGGGGGTGGGTAAAAACTACAGAAACACTTATTAAATATTTGCTTCCACTAGCTATAATGCTATAATGACTGGTTGATCACAATCTTAATTGCAGTAAGTGATTATATATAGTATTGAGAGGATTAAAGAAATCTTAAAATACCGAAGAAAATAGAAGATCCGAGGGGACTTGGAGTGAACTGGGGCCGGAACGTAGGGTCTGTGACCCCTGACCCAGAGCCTCTGGCTCATGAAGTGGGGTGGTCCCTCCTTGTATGGCCACCCATCTTATCTCACAGGGCCTTCTCCCCAGCCCCAGGCCCTTGGCTTCAGTAATAGCTCCTTTTCTGAATGCTCAGGTTCACAGTCGGCGTGATAAACCGGGAGCGGATGGCTTCCTTTGAGAGGCTGCTGTGGCGAGTTTGCCGAGGAAACATCTACTTGAAGTTCAGTGAAATGGACGCCCCCCTGGAGGATCCCGTCACGGTGGGCTGTAGGAGGCTGCGCTGAAATTCCTGTAGTGGCACCTTCTCTGGACATTGTGTCATGAGTTTGATGAAGCTGATGTCTATTTCCTTTCTTTCTCCTTTTCTTTTCTTTGTACAATACTTTTGAAAAGTCCATTCATGGGCTGATTCTTGCTAACACATCAGTGTTGCTTAGTTCCTCTGAGATATGTAGCTGTCTTGTTTCTAGGAACTTAGTTATCCTAGTGCCACATGAGGTGGCAGCTGTGTCTTAATCACAAAGCACCAAGAACAGTGTTAGGACAGTTCGTCCAGCTTCAGGGTGCCTGTGGGTGTGGAAATCATCTGGGATCTTGTTTTAAAATTCAGGCTCTGACCCTGTGGGGCTGGGGTGGAACCAGAAAGCCTGGTTGATGCTGAGGTGCTGAGATGCTGAAAGGGTCCTGCACTTAGAATGAGAAGGACTTCCGGGGGCTCTTGGCTCTGGGATACACATTTACTGCTTCCATAGGATATTGCTGCTCCCGGTCTTCCAGTTTGTATTTCAATCTCTTTCCTCTGTAATTCTAAGAAGCTGAGCTTGCTTCTGAATGATCCATACATTTTTCTAGAGCAGAGGCTAAAAACTAATTTTAAATTTATTTGATAAAAAACTTCATAAAGCAAATGAAATTTAACATAGGAAGAAAGAACAAAACATAAAAAGTCATGCTCTGATAACTTTATTTTTAACTTTTTCCTTGTACTGTTTTTCTGTAGTCTGGTAACTATAGTGAAGTATGATTGAACAAGGTTGTTGTATGCCTGGAAAGGATTTTTCCTTCCCTCTTCATTTTGGATAGTATGGGATTCCCTCCTGTACTGCCATGCATGCTTTGTAGAGATTACTTTAAAATTTGACCTTGAGCCACCACTTTTCATTGTCATGTTTTGACACGCGGTAGTCACGGTGGTAGAGTATTTATAATGTAGATATCCTGAATAGTGAGCAGGGACATTGAGGAATCCTTGATTCTGGTGGATCAGGAGACCTAAGAAATTCAGAAAAGGACCAGGGTAGTTTCCATGGTGAGAGAATCTTGGGAAATAATGTAACACATGCAGCCCCAAATCCTAAAACATGCCTATCTTCCTTCCATGAGCAATTGCTGAAGAGATGACTTTTATTTTAATGGATGCCTGCTATTTTTTTTTTTTTTCCAGTACCAGGAATCGAACTCATGACCTCGCTCTTGCCAGGCAGGCGCTGTGCCGCTGAGCTAAATTCCCAGCCCCTGGATGCCTACCATTTCCACTGAGTTGATAAGTTGTGAACTTTATTTTTTGGACACTTTATTTCCAATTTTTCTCCAGAATATAGACACTATGATGGATATCTTTACGCATGTGGATTTTGATTTTCTTTTCAATTAGTTCTGTAATATGAATTCAAGGAAGATAGGATTGCTGGCTTGAAGGGTGTGGGCATTTTCGTGACACTTAATGTGTCCTGACAAGTGGCTTTTCCCTGGAGTGGTACCTGACTCCAGTGCCCTGAGAGGAATGTAATGAGTTCCTTGGGTTTTTTTTTTTTTTGTCACTTTTCCAACAGTGAAAAGTTTTAATTTTTCTTTTATCCACTCAAACTGAAAAAGTGAGCAAACATTGTCTCAGTTCATATTTCCTTACTTACAATAAGAGCTAAGCTTTTTCATACATATTTGTAAAACGTATAATCTCCCTTGTGAATTGTCCAACTTGGACTTGAAAAATCCAATGGAACTGGCACCTTACGGGCATACAACAAAGAATTCTGGGAGTCAAAAATTAGAAACACCTTTACCTTCGTTGTTATGTATCAAACATAAACTCCTCCTGAAATGTAGCTATCTACAGGTCAATTCTGGTGAGCCCAGTCGGCATTTGCATTGTATTTTCTTCTTCATGATCATATCTCTTACATTCAGAGCTCAGAGTTGAATTTAAAGAGCCAAGCATGGTGGTGCACACCTGTAATCCCAGAACTTGGGAGGCTGAGGCAGGTGGACCGTTGGGAGTTCAAGGGCAGCCTGCTACAAAGTGAGCTCAAGGCCAGCCTGAACTGCATAGTGAGACCCTGTCTCAAAAAGACAAAAGAAAAAAAAAAAACTATGAAGCTGTTCCTTCAAGGCTTGGTAAAATATTTGTTCTGATTTTCCAGAGAGAAGAAATTAAAAAGAATATATTCATCATATTTTACCAAGGAGAGCAACTCAGGCAGAAAGTCAAGAAGATCTGTGATGGGTGAGAGGCAGTTAATGGCTCTTTCATTAGGGGTTGAGGCCAAGATTGGGTAAAGAGGCCTTTTGTGCCAAATACACTCTTGGGTCCCCTTTGAGGCTAGTTCGGATTTTTAAATAACTTTCCCACACTTGATAAGATGTCCCAACTCCACAGAGGAATATAAACACCATGTACTCCAAGCATGTACAGAAAAGAAACAGAAGGCAGGGGATCACGGGACGGGTGGAGGGGGAGAGAGGAAAAGAGGATTTAAGAAAGGAATTCAGGTGTAGTATGATGGGCATGTACCGGTTCCCCACAAGGAATGTAAACATTATGTACACAAACTTGTACTTAAAAAATGCAACTGATTTTGAGAGTTGTGAGAACAAGAACAGGAAGGACCTGCATCGACAAAATCCAAAGCTATCAAAGTAGACGTGTTAACCATTTCGGGTTATTCCTCAGTTACTCCTTATCCTCTGCTAATGAGCAGGCTCTGTGTGGCTGATTGTGTCTCATTTTACAAAACCGCCTTACGTGTAGCCCCTTAGAAGCAGAAATTTCTCCATACTGAAGAACACTAATACATGAACAGGGGAAAAGAGGCAGGTCAAGCCCGAGTCTTCTGTCCAGAGGTTCTCATAGGTTTCGCGGTGTGAATGAAGGAAGGGATGTGTTGGAATCGCAGGGCTGCTCGGAGGAAGGCACAGGAGGAAGGAGCGGCTATCTGCCCCAGGTCTCACAGAAAGGGATAGCAGGTGCTTTTCAGGCGAAGCCCATGCATGTCCTCATTAAACACAGGTTTCGAGCCACTGTCTACCCCTGCCCAGAGCCTGCCACGGAGCGCAGAGAGATGCTGGCTGGTGTCAACGTGAGGCTGGAGGATCTAATCACGGTGAGTGACGGGGTCGGGCCTGGCTCTGCGGGGAGAGGAGATCTGTCCTCGGGCCTGACTGCGGCTGGCTCGGATGTTCGCTGGGCTCTCTGGCTGCAGTGCAGGAGGGGACACAACGAGAAAGCAGTGTTGGGTACGTAGGGGTGACGATTCTGCTTGTCAGTGGTGTTTTGCCGGGCGTTAGAGCCAACCACACCCTCTTCAGCCTCGGGGCAGCCGCCCCAGTCTGATCAAGGAGCTCTTTATTGCCAGCCTCGGCCTCGACTGCATCTACAGTCTGACCAACCAGTCAGCTAAGTTGAGCAACCAGTTTGGCCTGTTTTGAATTGTTTAAGCCGGCCAAGGAATTCTGTAAAAACAGTGACTCTAGTTTCACCATGTGGACATTTGTACATCCCGAATTCATTTCCGTGGTAAGCCCTGCCACCATCCAGGGTGACGCTCAGCACATCTGTGATCAGAACACTCCTCAGTCACAGCAGCCTTGCTGACTGCTGAGGTCCGTGGGGCCTCCACCCACCCTACGGTGTAGTCTAGACAGCGCGGTCCAACAGAGCTTCTGGTGCTAAAGCGTCCCATCACCTGAGCTGGGCGGCGCTGCCTCCGTGAGCCTGAGAAGACCGCCGAGAGCCCGAAACATGGCTACTGCCACCAGGAATGAAAAGAACTGAATTTTCATTTTTTATTTATTTGTAATTAAATTTAAATTTTGGTAGCCGCATGTGGTTGCTGCTGGGGCTAGCACAATTTTAGAATCTCAGCAAGGAGGTTTGGAAATGAGTAGTGTGTGTGTGTGTGTGTGTGTGTGTGTGTGTGTGTGTTTTAAAACCCCTAGTAACAGACACTTTTGCCCTCCCAGCAATTGTTTAATTTCTTTAATTCTCTCTGCTCCTCCTTTGTCATGGTCAGGACAACTGTGTTTCCCCCATGCAATTTCCCTTGAAGTCCTTTTCCTCACATACTCCTGATAGATTTCCCGAAGATTTCATGGGGGAAGTGGAAAAGCAGTCATTCAGTTCACACTTACATTTAGTGGGACTTGGGCTGCTATCAAGTCTGGGGACACCCAGTGGTCCATCCCAGCAGTGGCTTCTCTCCTGTTGTCCAGTTAAAGACCTCTGGTTCCGGGCAGCTCTGACAACACGATCTCAGGAGCAGGCGGGTGGCCCAGACCAGGCAGTCACGACTAGATGACTGACTGACTCATAGCAGGCGCTGTGTCTGCAGCTCATTCTGAGAGTTTGGGGAATTCTTGCCTTTTTTTTACATTAGCATTCAGTCCAGAGCTGGTAGCAGGTGTTTCCTTCACGCAGGGTATATCAGCTGCTCTTGTAAGGGCAAGGTTTATTTTAAGGTTCATGGAAGTTTTACCTATGTCAAGCTGATCTTGTCTTCTGGAAATCCTCAGGCCGTATTGCATCACACTGCGAAGTGATCCTTCGAGACACAAAAGTGCACCCTGTGTCTATCATTAATCTTAGAGCCATGATGTGTGTCTTACAGTACACTGCAGTAGCCATGTGGAAAGGTTACTGAAAAACATTACCCTGTGTGTTGTAGCATCCAAGCATGAAAACTAATCCCATTAAATACATTTTGTGTGTACCAAATCGTCCATTCCTTCCCTCCTTCATTAATTTGCTTGTCATCTATTGGAAGAATTATGTATATAAAGCATTTAAGTTAATTCCTCAAGGCTGCTGTAACAAAGGACCACAAACTGGGTGGCTTAGAATGATAGAAATTGATTGCCACAGTTCTGGAGGCCAGAAAGCCAGAAACCAAGGTGTCTGCAGGCCCATTTGTGCTCTAAGGACACTAAAGAAGGACTGTTCCTCAATCCATCCAGCTTCTGATGGCTGTCGGCCTCCCTGGGTGCTCCTTGCCTTATAGATGGTCACTGTAATCTGTGTCCATCGTCACATGTTATTTTTCCCTGTTTGCCTATGTCTCCAGATTTCGTAAAACACCAGTCATGTGGGGCTAGGACCCGCCCTGGTCCTCTGGAACCTCATCTGATCATGTCCAAGTAAAGTCCAGTCAAAGGGTCAGAGTTTAGACTCCAACATCTTTTGGGAGTGGGGCACAATCCAACCCAGAGGACTATGTGGAATTTAGACTCAACGGAAGGTGCAGACTTGGCCAAAGGGTTTTAACCTATGTAGTTAGTTCACAAGAGTGCTCTTCATATCAGAGGACGAAGCTCAGAAGGGAAGCCACAATGGCTGAGAAGCCTCCTTTTTGCCTCTGTGTCAGACGCCTCTGTTAATGGTCCTCGTCTTTCTGTGTGTTTTTGCCCAGGTCATAACACAAACAGAGTCTCACCGCCAGCGCCTGTTGCAGGAAGCAGCTGCCAACTGGCACTCCTGGGTCACCAAAGTGCAGAAGATGAAAGCCATTTACCATACCCTGAACATGTGCAACATCGACGTCACCCAGCAGTGTGTCATCGCTGAGATCTGGTTCCCAGTGGCGGACACTGCACGTATCAAGAGGGCGTTGGAGCAAGGCATGGTGAGTAGCAGGTGGCACTGGGGGGGAGAGAGAGGCCACACCCAGCCTCATCTCTCCCCTGTGAGACTCTTGGAGGCTGTCCACTTTCTGAGCTTTGCAGGTGACTTGGTGGTGGGATTATCTCCTTCACCTTTAATTCCTAACCCAGCGGTAGGGCACATAAAGGACACGCATTTGTTTGCAGTGTTTGACAAATACTCAACATTTTCTTGATCTTCAAGTATGTATGGAAGCACTAACACGCCAGCCACCCCACTAGTTGTGAGCACAGTTACCATCGTATGGCTGTAAGTCCCTCCCGTGACCTCGTGGAGGCAACAGCATGGCTGGAGAGGCAAATAACCAAGCGCCTATGGTGAGAGCTAAAAGGCTGAGGTGGCTCCCTGCGTGCCAGCAGCAGCACTCAACGCTGGGCACCAAGCGTAATTCTCGGAGTTCTCTGCATTCACTGTCATGGGTGTTCACTGATCTAGGGCCACGTGGGCAGACCCTGGCCTGACAGACTGTCTAGGAAGAGAGATAGACAGTGTGCAAGCCTGTGGGGGATGAAGTTTCAGGCAGTGGTGAGCAGTGGTTGGGAAATCAAGGAGAGAACAGAGGCGGGGAGGGTTTATTTTGGCTTACAGTTTCAGAGTGTTTGGTCCGTGGTCGGCTGGTCCCTTGCTGTGGGCTGAGGTGAGGCAGACAGTCATGGTGGGAGGTGCAGAGGAACAAAGATGCTTACCTCATTGTGGCCGGGAAGCAGAGAGAAAGGGGCTGGGCACACTCTTCAGAGGTGCTCCCCATGACCTGCTTGCTGTGGCCAGTCCCCGCCCCCTGTTGCTGTCACCTCCCAATAACACGGAGCATTACATTGAAACCCTTATGATCCAGCCCCCTCTAGCCTCACCTCCAAACACTGCTGCTTCAGGGTGAAACCCTCAATACGAAGCTATAGGGGACACTGCATGTTTAAACCGTGACAGTCGTATATATTCAGGACAGCACAAGTCACACAGGGCTGGTGGGGTTACACTTGGGGCTGTCACTTGGAGGCTGAGCCAGGAGGCTTCTAGCTCCTCTGAGAAGGAGGCTTTGCAGTGACAAGAGAGTCCCATGACCTTTTATTCCTGCTGGAGGGTGTGGCTAGCTTGTCTGAGTGATTTCTTGGGGTGTCAGGGAGGTCAACCCCATTAGGTGGAGGTCTGGTCCAGCTCCTGCATATCTGTTGAGAACAGAGGGCTCATGGTGGCTGTTGCTAGACGGGTCCATCTGAGCAGGTGGTGTCGGGGCAGATGTTCCCAAATGCTCCAGAGGATCGGGGCGGGTGGAGGAAGAGCTTGCATGCTGAGGGAGCTTACGGTGGGAATGGATGAGGAGGCAGGAGCTATTTTATTCCCTTTGTATAGGTGAGGAAACTGAGGCACAGAACGTATGAGTAACCCCACCAGTGCTGAAGCCAGGAAGCAGGATTTGAGTGTAGGAACTCTTAACCTCCATGTACTACTATGCTCCTGCATTGTGGTCCCAAAACTACCCAGATAGGGCTTTTTCCTGTTTTTTTTCATTTTTTGTTTTTTGTGGTACTGAGGTGCACTCTATCATGGAGCTACATCCCCAGCACTTTTTAACTTTTGAGAAAGGATCTTGTTAAATTGACCAGGCTGGCCTCAAACTTTCAATCTTTGTGCTCTAGCCTCCCAGAGTGCTGGGATTACAGCATGCTGGCTCAGAGGGAGCACTGTGCGTAGGCTCTCCCTCAGCAGGGATGCTCTCAGAAGGGGAGTGGTCAGGTCAGTGAACAGGTGGATGCAGAAGGGGCAAGCCAGGACCCTGCTTTGGGGGGCCAGGGCCGGAGGGAGGCTGGGTCAAGTTCAAAACAGAGAAAGCTCAGGAAGAGACTACAGGGCCAACCCCCGGGACCTGTGAGCTGCCTAAGGAGCCTGCTTTTATTCTGTTGCCAGGGAGACAAGATCCAGTTTGCAGTTCAGAAACACTTTGCTGCCATGTGAAGACTGCAAGGCTGGTGGATGGGTGAGGTGTGAGTGCTGCGGGTATGAAGGAACACAGACTAATCATGAAGGGGTCAGGCTTCTTCCAAGGTACTAAGGAGCCTTGGTTTTGTTGCATTTTTGAGACCAGGTCTCACCATATTGCATTGATTAATCTCAAACTCCTGGGCGCAAGTGATCCTCCTGTCTCAGCCTCCTGAGAAGCTGAGACTGTAGGTCCACACTACTGTGCCCAGTGTACAACTGGCTTTACAGTTTCTTCAGTCTTCTGAAGTAACAAAAATGTTTCCACAGACCGCAGGAGAAGCCCTATGTGGGTAGGAGATGGGGAAGGAAACGTGTAAAGGCAGAGCGTGTGGTTGTATAATGGTATAATCTGGGTCTGTGCCTCACAAAATAAGAAAATGGAGTCAAGGACAAAGGAGAGAGAGAGGAGGAAGGTTTATTAAGAAGAAAGATATAGTTCCCAATAGGCAGGGGGGGATCCAAAAGTGGGTTGGCCCGGGAACTCTTTGTGTAGGATTTTTAATACCAAAAATTGACCAGGGCTCAGAGCACACCCAGCCAAACCAAGGTCAACCTGTAAAACCAGCTCACTTAAACTAGACATGGGCCCGTGAGTGGTCGGGGCAGGTAGGCAGCATGTGTCTGAGCTGCCTCCTGGGCTCTCTCCTATCCAAGTGTGTCACTAAAAGAACAAAGTGAGAAGGGGAAAATGTTTTCCAGCTGAGGGATCCGTCACCTTGCTGTCACCTCGCCTGTTACACCCTCGACTTGATGTCCACCTGGTTCTTGGTTTTTTTTTTTTGCTTTTTCCCAGTACCGGGAATCGAACTCACAACCCTGCGCTTGCCAGGCAGGCACTGTGCCGCTGAGCTAAATCCCCAGCCCCAATGTCCACCTGGTTCTTGTGGACTTTTGATCCCAGGCTCCTGCTCATGACCAAGGCCTGGTTGTCCTGACTCTGCCTGGGGCCCAGAGCCTCTCTGGCTGCCTATGTCTTCTGCCTGACTTGCCTGCCTGTAATACTTGGTGCTATCATTATCATCAACAATAAGCAGTTGTCACCTATGCTAGGCATGATGTCAGCTGCTACTGGGTGTGTACTAAAGAAGAAAGAAAAGAACAAGGAAGCTACAGAAGGAGGTGCTGATCACATAGTGATAAGACAAGGCAGTAGTACAACAGGAAACACCTTCACTTGTGTATGACCTTGAGGCAGTTACTTCACATATGTCTCAGTGGCCTCCTCTTGAAGCTGAGATTTGTCCCAAAATCTACCTCATGGTATTGTTGGGAAGACTGAGACAGAACCACGAGCCCTCATTCAGCTGGTGCTAAATCCTATCTAAGCACTCTTGGGCTTTGGGGAGTCTGGAAGTTTCCCAGGGTGGGGAGCGTGGAGAATCGTGTAGACCTGGGTAAGGGGAGAAGAGATTTGACTGATTTCCTTGGGGAACAGGGTGGGGCGTCTCAAGGGGAATGGTGTGAATGGGGAATCCCATTGACTCAGTCTTTCCGACTACAGGATATAAGGGTTTTAGCTGGGCGTGGTGGTGCACACCTGTAATCCCAGCGCTCTGGAGGCTGAGGCAGGAGGATCCTTGCAAGTTCGAGGCCAGCCTGGGCTACAAAGTGAGCTCAAGGTCAGCCTGAACTGCACAGTGAAACCCTGTCTCAAAAAGACAAGAAAAAAAATAAGGGTTTTGATTTTATTCCTTGGAGTTAGGATGTCTTTGAAGACTTCAGAGCGGGACAGTGAAGTGAATGAAGCACTGCAGTGCTTTTGGTTGGTTCTGTGGAAAGACTGTTTCGGCTCTCTGGGGTGTCAGATAAATGGAATGGAACAAGGTCAGAAGGGATGGTGAGGCTTGGCCAGGGCAGGAGCTGTGGGAATTCGCAGGAAAGGTGTTTGGGAGGGAGAAATATTACCAAGCTCTGACAGTGGATCACTGACTGAGTCAGGAGGAGGGACAAGAGTGACAGTTCCTAAGTTCCAGGAATCTGGGAGAACAGAAGATCTGTGCCAGGAGCAGGGGGAGGGCCTGGCTTTGGGGCAAAGGGGGGGATTCCTTGAGGCTCCTGGATCTGTGGGGTTGGTGAGACACCGGAGTCTGCACACCCAATGAGGCAATCAGGGAAGAATTGAGACTTAGGGGAGGGTTAGCGCCGTTTGGAAGATGGGATGGATTAGCAGAGTGGATGAGCTCTGGAGCGAGAAGGTGGAAAGAAAGGCAGCAGTTCGGAGTCCAGAGCTGAGGGTTAGGTGGGCATTTTCAGAGCCAGAAAGGACAGGGTCTGTTCTCTTGAAGGCTCTCTTGAAAGATGGGTTAGACATCTACTTGAGAAGCCACTGGCTTTTCACGGATGGAGGTCGCCATTCCCAGAGTCAAGAGATGCCCCAAGATGATGCCCAGAGCCACGAGCTGGCACCGTCCCGAGGCTCCTCCCTTCCCTAGCCAACACCTATTCTTCTTGCAGGAACTAAGTGGCTCCTCCATGGTCCCCATCATGACCGAAGTGCAATCGAAAACAGCCCCTCCCACCTTTAACAGGACCAATAAATTCACAGCTGGCTTCCAGAACATCGTGGATGCCTATGGCGTGGGCAGCTACCGGGAGATGAACCCAGGTAGGATGGAATGCATTGTCACACAGTGGTATCAGGTTAGTAATATTCCTCAGTTATTGCGGGCTGATCAGGTCTGCGGTCTCCCAAATGAGTGTATGGTGAAGGCTAAATAAAAAGAGGTGAACAGAATGATTTCAGGGCTCCAGGAGGATCAAAGCCCTCTCATAGAATTTGAGATTCTCTCAGGGCTAAGACCAAGACCTTCTCTGGGTGGCCTGTATTCATTTGATTAATGAATATCAGAAGAAGGAAGGGGAGTACCCAAGAAGGGCAGAATTACTGAAAGACTTCTCCAAGTAAGGCATTAAATTAATCCTTAATAAGGATTAAGTTAATCTACCCAGGAGTGAAATGCCTAGGGTGATAGTTTTTATCTAATTGAGATCAGATCCAGGTGTCCTTGGCTGTGATCTTGTCTTATCCTTTGAGGCTTTCTGGCTTTGTCCGCCACTACAGGTTTTAGTAGGGATCAGTGACTCACAGAGGTTCACTTACTGTGAGTCCATCACCCACTTCTGGACAAGCAGCCTAGGCTTTGGACAGATTCACAAGTAAACATAAAAAGCCAATTGGTTAATTTAAGTCCTGCTCGGAGCTGCTTCATATTTGTCTCCATCACAGTGGGGCAGCTTGAAAGTGGCAATGTGTACCTCTCAGGGGTCCTGGGAGGTGACTCTGAAAACTGGGACATTCCTAAAACCTTGGTTTCCTGATATCTTGAATCATCTCCTATATACACCAACTAATAAAGCATTTGTTCTTTGTCTCTATCTGTTCTGCATTAAACTGTGACCTCACCAGGCAGCTGCATTCTGTTTTTCCTTTGATAATATAAAGAGGAGCCAGAGATATAGCTCAGCGGCACAAGTGCCTGCCTGACAAGTGTAAGGTCCTGAGTTCAATTCCCAGTACAAAAAAAAAGCCAGTCAATCTAGTCTGTTCTATAAAACAAGAAGTCAATACTTTTGCCAGGCATGATGGCGCACACCTGTAATCCCAGCACTTGGGAGGCTGAGGCAGGAGGATCTTTGAGAGTTTGAGACCAGCCTGGGCTACAAAGTGACCTCAAGGCCAGCCTGAATTGCACAGTGAGACCCTGTCTCAAAAAGACAAATAAAATAAATAAATAAGAAGGCAAACTATTTGAAAAAACAAAAACAGAGAGTGTCATTGCTGGGCATCTTTATGGGCCTATAGTTAGTGGGTGGGAAGGACAAAAGGATGCTGGACTTGGGGTCAAAAGATGAGCTATTGAGTGCCCCGTGCTGTGCAATCTCAGTAGGCTCGTTAGTGAAATAGAGGGGTAGACCAGATACCCTTCAGCCAAACACTGCATGCAAGTCCCAGCTAACCTGTCACCCACAAAGCAGGGCTGTTGGGTTGAGAGCCCTGGAGTAACTGCTGGTGGGGTGTGCTGCCTGTCTGTGGTGGAGACAGACAGAGATGGTGATAGAAAAATACCAAAGACACGGAGAGATCAAAAACTGGTTTTCAATCCCATCATGCTTTGTGATCTCAGACAAAGAAACTGGGGACTGAGAATCCCTAGTCATGGATGAGCTCACCCATAGGGGAGGCGGCGGGGGACAAGCAGAAAGAACAAAGAACCCAAGCAGCTGCGGAGCCGGCCCGGATGGAGAAATCTTCCCTGGGTGTGTGGGTGGCACAAGGCATGTTTGGAGGCCTCAGGCTGACGTGGGTGTCACCTCCACAGCTCCCTACACCATCATCACCTTCCCCTTCCTGTTCGCTGTGATGTTTGGGGACTGCGGTCATGGAGCGGTGATGCTGCTGGGAGCCCTCTGGATGGTCCTGAATGAGGAGCGGTTGCTCTCCCAGAAAAGCAGCAACGAGGTGGGTGCCCGGCCGCCCTCTCACCGCCTTTCCTCAGGCGCAGTACTGAAATGTGCATCCGTTTTCACCCTCGGCATCATGCGTGTTTATGAGAAACGAAGAGAGGTGAAAAGCAAAAAGGAAAAGGAGCCCAAATCGGTGCCGTTTGATCAGCAGTGTTTTTGTTGTTTGTTCGGGCTTGACAAGGCATTGGTTTTTGTCCCCTTTATTTTGTTTCTAACTTTTTTTATTTATTCTTTTGATAAAAGCAATACACACTCACTATAAAAGTTTGGAAAATACAGCAACCTAACCACCTAGGTAAAGTCACAACATCTTGGATATCTTCCCAACTGAGAGTGTGTGAGCTTCGTGCAGAAACATTCCTGTTACAAATCTGTGTCAAAGTAGTACATCTTATCTGTAGCTTTCTTTTTAATTTTTTACTGAAAATACAATAAATATTTGTTCACGGCAGAGTCCTTTCCCCACTAGCTTGGGACTCGGCTTCTTAGGAAGCTTGGAGAAATCCCAAATATTATGTTCTCCCCCTACACCTGCTTTCTACTTTTCCACGAGGAGGTCACTTTGCAGAGTGTGAGGAAGGCTGAGCTCCCGAGTGAGTCTGCATTTGTTGAAGTTTATCAGTGAGTCCCAGTGCATCGTGCTGCCTTCATGGAAGTCCGTTGACAGCTGGAAACGCCTCTGGCCACGCTCTGAGTGACGGAAGCCGCGGTGCTCCTTCCTCACAGGTGGAGCTGATTAGTGCGAGCGCCGTGATGCTGCTGTGTGCTAATCACAAGCAACATCTGTGGGCAAAACAGTTTTCCATGCAAGGCTTCACCGATGTTGTTTTGTATGGCGACCGCTTAAAATCACACAGTGGCATTCCAGCAGTTGTTGGGATGAATGACATGTCGTGTAGGATTGCAGGAAAGTGCTTCGCTCCCCGAAGCAGATGTAGACACCAGAGACACGGCTCTACAGCGGCAAGACCCCACAGAGTGTAGGTCTGACTTGGTCTAGATGTGTAGCCTGGAGGCCCCAAGACCCCTCCAACCAGTGTCCAGGCCCTTCCTTAGCAGGTGGGGCCTTGGCTTGTGCTCCAGTTCATTTTCTAACTGGGGCTGAAAAAGAAACTGAGATATATATTTATCTAAATCTATCTCAGTCCAGGACTTCTTGTTTTTGTTTCTGAGACAGCCTCACTATATAGCCCAGGCTGGCCTTGAACTTGTGGAGATCCTCCTGCCTCAGCTTCCTAGTGTTAGGATGATAGGTATATGCCACCATGCCTACCCTAATGCAAGACTTTTGTGATTCACCTCCATAAACTCAGGGGAATCACCAATGTCTGCCTTGGTCGCTTGGCCGCTCCAAAGGGTGCCCAGCATAGGGGTGCTAGAAATGTCCCAACACACCCTCCCCTCTCAGGCTCTGACATTCCTGCTCTTGTCTCTCCGGTGCCAGATCTGGAACACCTTCTTCCACGGGCGCTACCTGATCCTGCTCATGGGCATTTTCTCCATCTACACGGGCTTGATCTACAATGACTGCTTCTCCAAGTCCTTCAACATCTTTGGCTCTTCTTGGAGTGTCCAGCCTATGTTCAGAAACGGGACATGGAGGTGAGTTTGCAGCGCCCCCGGGGGCCTCTGGCTGGGGCTATGGTTTGGCAAGTCTACACCTGACTCAGCTCAGAACTACACTGCAGATCAGCTCAGTTTTACCTGCTGAGTACAAGACTTGGGCCAATTCTCTCACTGTGCTGTAGCTATAATGCAGGGAGCTAGTTTTTAAGATTTCAGCTTAATTAAATACATACGAGGTATGATAAAGAAAATACCGAGCATTTAAAATTTTTAAAATTGTTACAAAGACATGTTCTCATTAACCCCCTCAAAATAACCCCCTTGCTTCAAACACACTTATCTCATTGTTTTTGTCGCCTTCTGACGTAGTTCTGGAAGTCCTCTTTCGTGAATACCTTTAGTTGAGCAGCAGTGGCTGCCCTGATGTGCTCATTTGATTCAAAACATTTACTTTTCATGGTCAGTTTGACTTTGGGGAAGAGCCAGAAGTTGTGTGGTGCCAGATCCGGTGAATAAGGTAGAAGAGTTCACACCGTAATGTCTTTAAGAGCCTGCCTTTCTCTGGATGGAACTCAGCAGTGGCATTCATTGTCTTTTTTGATCACATCTTGTAAAGACACTTATGACTGAGGAGGGCATCCAGAGCTGCTTCAGAAAGTGGCAAGAAGGATGGGATGAGTGTGTTCAAAGCCAGGGAGGAGTATCTTGAGGGGAATTAATGACATTGTCTTTTACTGCATTTTATTTTATTTTTTTTGTCTTTTTGAGACAGGCTCTGTCTATGCAGTTCAGGCTGGCCGTGAGCTCACTTTGTAGCCCAGGCTGGTTTTGAACTTGCAGCGATCCTCCTGTCTCAGCCTCCTGAGTGCTGGGATTATAGGCGTGCACCACCACACCTGGCATGCATTGCATTTTAAAAAACATTTTAAACATTCACCATATATTTTGATTCCCTCTTGTAGAGTGTGTGCCATGTATCAGGGAGTGTTATGAAAACTGGTGGAGGAGCATGTGACCTGGGCCTCTTTGCAAGAATCCTGGAGGCAAGGATTTGTGATGAGAAAGGTGGCCTTTGACACACACAAGTCATGCACGAGGCATTTCTGAAACGCAGGCTTTGCTTTGGGAAAGGCTGATAGAGGTGCTGAACTGTGCAGATTCACAACCTCCAGCTCCCAAGACCCCACCTTCCCCAGCAAGGCCTTTCCTTTGGCTGCACAGGGTGGCTTAGTTTCAGCGTTTAGTGGAAAAAAAGAGAGGGTGATGGTGCAGCCCCAGCTCCCTGTGTTTGCCCGGTGGCTGGCAGAGCGAAAAGCAGGGGCTTGGGGGCAGCTGGTGAGGAGATGTGTGGGTTGCAGGAAAGAGAGACCTGGAAGCTCGCTAAATTCCGCTGTCCACACCTCCCCTTGCATTCCACAGTTATTTAGCAGTTAATCAGATGAACAGCCCTCTGACTGGAACACAGTGCTTGCAGAATGCACACTTTGATGGAAAGGGAGAAAGATTTTAGAGCAGGAGAGCTCAGTCGGTTTTATGCACTGGGAGAGGTGAGGAGGGCCCTGCAGAATAGGGGATTCTGAGGGGAATAAACAGAAATGTGGACAACCTTGTGACTTTTGGGGCGGGTCTTATGCTTTATGTATCCCACAGTCCTTACACTGCAGAATTGCAAAGCTAGAAATCACAGGTGATGTTTCCTAATATCTGTCTGATCAGCTTCTTGGAATCTGCAGAAACTTCCGGTCTTATTTGGAAACTTTCGGTTGGGCAGATGGGAAGGGAGGGCTGGTAAAGAGGGAGAGAGGCGTGAACCCTTGTACCCCCTCCCTGCCTCCAAGCATGGGGGCGGAGGGTGTTGTACAATCTCTGTTTAAGGAAATTCCAGGGTTTCCTTGAATTTTTGCTCACCAGAATCTGTAGTAAACATAAATGGAGGGAGAAAATAAATAAGCAATCTCATCTAAATTTTGAGACACGCTCTCTCTGTCTCAAATTTCCGTCCAGGCCTCCTTTGAGCTAGTAGCTTTCTCAAGCGTGTTTTAAGGGCTCAATGATGGCAGGTCTGTGTAGACTCTGAGGGATGGGAACAACCCTTAGTATGGGTTGTTAGTTTCTCCGGTAGGCCTAGGGTCCTGTAGTAGAGGCTGAGAATATTAAAATAATTTTTAAAAAAATGAATAAAATTGAACACAGATGATTTTGTGTGTGTGTGTGTGTGTGTGTTGCCTTGAGACAGGGTCTCACTATGTAGTCTAGGCTGGCCTTGAACTAGCTATGTGGCCCAGGCTGGGTCCTAACTTGGTGATCCTTCTGCCTCAGCCTTCTGAGCTGGGTTTACAGGTGTGTGACACCATGCCTGGCTTTCTTTCTTTTCATTTCCTCCCTCCCATTCTTCCCACTCCTCTTCCTTTCTTTCTCTCTTTTTCTTTTTTATCGTGGACCTGGCCAAGATTCCCAACTGCTTGTACAGTAAAAGGGTGAAATAAGAAACAGAGACACATTTAGTAATGCATCAAGGGGAGCTGGGAGGTCACTGCTCAGAACGGGCAGAGACAAAGGCACTCCAGGCCAGCCACTATTTATGGAGTGTCTACAGTGACAGGAGGGGCAGTGAAGATTCAAAGTCAGCAGAAGACTCAGAGGTCAATGACTCAGCGGCAAGAGATAATCGTGGGATGACTCAAGAGGGAGGAGAGGACCCCGTGCTGAGAAGGATCTTGCCCTGGAGTGTTTTTTAGTCTTAGTGGTCTTAGTTTTGTGTCAGTGAGTGGGAGAGGGTGGCTCATCCCGAAAGAGTTAATGGAAAATCTCAAAAGGCTAACACCCATAATCCGAAACCTCTATTATACCTTAGGGAAGTATGTAAAACTAGCCGTTGTGAATTTGTGGTCCCAAACATTCTTTCTTTCTTTCTTTCTTTCTTTCTTTCTTTCTTTCTTTCTTTCTTTCTTTCTTTCTTTCTTCTTTCTTTCTTTCTTTCCTTCCCTCCTTCCTTCCTTCCTTTTTCTTCCTTCCTTTCTTTTTTCTTTTTTTCTTTCTTCCTTCCTTCCTTCTTTCCTTCCTTCCTTCCTTCCTTCCTTCCTTCCTTCCTTCCTTCCTTCCTTCCTTCCTTCCCTCCCTTTGTTCTTGGCTCTGCCATTAATGCCCTGAAGAGATACCTAAAAGGACACATAAGCATAGAGATGAACTTTGAAATGGGTCCAATCTGTGTAATTTCTCCAACCTACCAACATTAAATTTTATTTTTCCCAGTATGTGACTGTGAAAGATCCAAGTGAACTGCTTATTGTCACTGCAGTGAGAGTGGGAGTGTGGCTCTCTGGTGCATTTGCAGTGACCCCTTCCCTAATTCAAGACTCCTCAGGGAAGGACACCAGATCCCAGCCTGAGCGGCTCAGCGGTGTGCCCAGGTGTCATGTGTGGCGAAAGCGGAGCCTCATTACCAGTTAAGCAGAGTGAGCTTCAGTTCTCTGTCAGAGCTGAAGGACACAGTGAGGTAGCTTTGATCACCAGCCACAGCCTGAGTCATGGGCCTGTTTTCCTTGGCAGTGGACAGTGTGCCGAAGGCTGGAAGCCAGGGGCATGCTGTGATTCCCCAAGTTGGGTGCATTGGCCAGAGTGGGGAAGCAGGAAGTGTCACATGGCTGGGGCCATGGGGACCCCAGTAAGAGGGAAGGTACCAAGGAACCTAGAGAATTTGGCTTGGGTTAGGACGGGGAATGTTTGGTCATCTTTGTGGTTTGGACAGTGTCTTCTATTGCCTGTGTTCAGGCCTGACTGTGGATCAGTCTTGTTTTTTTACTGCACACTGGTCACAAGATGGCCTGGTTTGGTGAACTTGGGGACTGAGGTTCCACAGGAGATGTTGTGGCTTAGCTATGGGTGCCAGGCCGGTTCCTTCCTGTTGGGGATGCCCATTCCCTTTGGTGGCACAGAATATATCTCTACCAATAGTCTTATGATGGCAAATTACTGGCCAGGGGCTTGTGTCTGGAACAGCCCACCAAGGGCTGTCCCTACTGTACACTGTGGGTCTGGGCAGTACCATCTCGTGTCCTGACCGCTGCTGCTCTCCAAGACCCTGGCATCTGCTGCGGAAGGGCAGGCGTGTTTCCCCGGGCAGCTGGTCAAGGGTGGTCACCCTTCTGGGCATCATTTCAAGTGCTCATCCTTTGTCTCTTCCACAGAGGTGAACTCTTACAAAGAGCATCAACCCCTCATGTCCGTGTCCCCCTTGAGACTTGCTGAGACAGGAAGAGAAATTCCTTCCCTCTGCCAGTCGTTCTTCCGGGTGCAAACGGGATACAGATCTAAACAGTCAAGAGATTACACATTTTTTAAGGCTAAGGCATCCGTGTACAGAGTCAATCTGTCTCTCAGGACTGGCCTAAGTGTTCCCTGCGGAGACTTCGCAGACTGTTCTGTATACTTCTGTGTACTTCCGTTGTTACGCCAGTGGCCCAGCTCTGTTCTGATGCACTAGAGTTCTTGATCCTTATCCCCCCTCCCTTTCTTGGTGGTGTGGTGGATGGAACCCCAGGCCTCATACATGCTGGGCAGGTACAAGTGCTCTACCAATGAAGCTACCTCCCTTCTCCCCTGATTTTCTCTACTACATTCCAATTGGGCAAGAACTCTCTGGAAACTCAGGCTGTGAAGTCCTCATGGGTCGAGAGGGCAATGTCTATAGCCTCGGCACCCAGGGCAATGCCTGGCACATGGCAGCCCCTCGGTGCCTGAGCCTGAAGTTTCTCCACAGCTGGGCATTGATAGCCTGCACGTTCATGACTGATGGTACCATAGTGCTTTTCCCACCTCTAACCAACTTTCTTTTTTTTTGGTACCAGGAATTGAACTCAGGACCCTGCGCTTGCCAGGCAGGTGCTTATGTCACTGAGCTATATCCCTGGCCCGAGACTGACCATTTTTGTTTGGTTTTGTTTTGTCCCTTTCTCTCTCTGTAGTGCTAAAGTAATGGAAACAACTCCCTATCTACAGCTGGACCCAGCCCTGCCAGGAGTATATTCTGGAAATCCATACCCATTTGGGATCGACCCGGTAATAACGCCTTCTTGGATGAAATATTCGTGGTGTAAAATGTACTGCTGAGAAGATCTGGGAATGGAGGTGGAGGAAGTACCAGGACCCATCACATCAACAAATCTTGGTCCAGGCAGAGTAACTTGGAGGTTGTTTTGTTCTGTTTTGTTTTTGCAGTGCTGGGGATGGAAGCTGGGGCCTTACACATGCTAGGCAAGTACCACAGCATAGAGCCATATCCCAGCCCCCATACTGGAGGTTTTCGTGACGCTCAAAGCTGGAGCCAAGTAAACGCCCTGTGTGCCCTCTGTCGGCCCCTCGGACATTTTCCACACAGCTCTCCCACATCTGCTTCTCTTTCCATCACTTCTTCCACGGGTTGTTAATGATTACTTTTCTTTAAAAAGCCCTCGGCTGTCTGGGAAGTGTGCACACCCGCTAAGTGCCTGGCATTCTCACCAAGTACCCCACTTTGGCATTTTCTTGTAGCGGGCGATGTCTCCTTCTGAGAAGCGTGGATTCTTTGTACTATCTTACTGCCTGTAGCCAATACAAGTATTTAAAAATACAAGGCATATAGTTTCTTTTGCATGTTGTTTATTGCATCTAGCTGACTAGATAGGAATCAAACAAAACAAAGCTCCTTCCTCACACAGCCTGTGACCTGCAAGAGTCAGGAGCCTGAGCACAAGTTTGTTCGCATAAAGCCACGCACAGTGCCACTAGGTGGCAGCCTCGTGCTGCAGATGAGTACTAGCTTCCTGAAGCTGGCAGCTGCCTGTGCTAATGTTTTCTTCTCTGCTGTCTGCGGTAGAGAACCTGAGTTTGGTTGCCAGCAGTTGCGAGTTTACAGTATAGGTCCCCGGAAGTGCTTCTCTGGTTTCTGCCATCTTGTAGGCCATCAGGCCTTCTTCAGTTTTCCTGGGTTCTCCCTGTCTCCCCACCCTTATGGAACCAGAATCCGCTCCCCGGGACTTGCTTCTTCTCGACACCCAGGCGCACTTGCATTCTAAGTTTAATAGAAAGCGGGAAAGTCCTTGAGAGTGGGCTTGTAAACTGCAAAGTGCTAGAAACAAAGGTGAGCTGTCCTTTTGGGAGAGCAGGAGGGTTTCTCTTTGGTCAGAGACAGCGGAAGAGCCTAGAGGAGGAGGGTGTTGGAATTTGGGGGTCTCCTTCGCTTTTGTTCTCATTGTTCCCTTTGTCCTCTCTTCCTCCACAGCCAGCGGTCACTTCATCCACAATCCTGCCTGCCCGTTTCCTATGCTCAGACAGAGCGGGGCAGAATGGTACAAAGGGGCAGGGGAGGGGGCTTCAGGCTTTCTACTCTGTGCAATTTCATCTGTCTACAGATTAGAAGAGGAACTGGGCCGGGAATATAGCTCAGTGGCATACATGCTTGCCTGGCGAGCCTGAGGTTATGAGTTCGATTCCCAGTACCAAAAAAAAAAAAGTTAAAAGAGGAAGAAAAAAAATGTCAAGGCAAAAAAGATGTGGAAAATGTGGAAAATAATGACTTTTCCCCCAAGTAACATTTAGAATATTGAAAATGTCTGATCTTGGACTGGGGTGTAGCTCAGTGGAGGAGCATTTGCCTAGTATGCATGAGGCTCTGGATTCTGTTCCCAGGAGGGATGAAAACCAATTCTTGAGTCTGTCTTAAAATAATATATATAGTAAGTCCCCGGCTTACAAAGGAGTTCCACTCTGGGACAGTGCCTGTAAGTCAGATTCGTTCCTAAGTCCAACAAAGTGCGTCTGACACACCTTGGACGCAGATATACAGTATGTATTGCTTTGTGCTTCCTAGCCGTCCCCTCCACATCACCACTTCTTTTCCCCTTGCTTCTGGACAACTAGGCTGTGACCGAGCACTGGACTTCTGTGCTCTATCGCTCTGTACAGTGAGCACAACTGTGACAGTGTCCTTCAGATACGTGAGCTACTTCCGCAATTTATTCCCATCTATCTACGGATGTTGTCGTTTGAGGTCCTTCGTGTCTGCGAAAGTTCAACACTCAAATGTTTATAAGTCTGGAATTTACTGTATGCATATTATTAAAAAACTACATGCACAAAATATTATAAATAGCAGCAGGAATTGCCTTTGTTATGTCTCCTGCCATCCTGTTCCTCAGAGAGATTAGAACATTTCTGTGCCCATGTCAGGACTCCAGTCTTAGATATTAATGAAGGATTTCTCCTTCACATCACATGAATTTCCACGGTGCATTTATTCTGTGCTCAGCATCTATTTGTAAACCAAATCACAAAATATCTAGCTTTCATCACAGCTAAGAGGTCTGAAGGTGCTTATACATATTTGATTACGAATGAACATGTAGTGATCAAGAGTGCATGATCTAAAATATTGCAGGTTGTAAAAAAAAAAAAAAAAGAGCGCATGATCTGGAATCAGACAGCCCGCATTTAAATCTCGGCTCTTCTGTTTACCTGCTCTGTGACGATGAACAAGTTGTCATCATTGTGTCTGTTTCCTCACCTGTAAAATGGATATAAATCACAGCCCTAATTTATTCACCAAATAAAATGTAAAACCTTTAGAGTAGTCTGGCACATAAACCTGGTAAATGCTCCAACAGTGGTAATTGTTTTTATATTATTTTTTAAGTGACTTAATCTACCCGAGATTACGATAGGTACCCTTATCTGTAGAATGGGAATATTTATATCAATGTAATAGCGTTCTATTAGAATTTAGTGAGATTGATGCATCTAAAGAGTTCGGTTTGTGCTGGGTAGTTCACGTTTTTAGTTTATCAGATCTGGCAGGGGCTGCAGTATACTGGGGACTGCCTTCGCCATGCTGAGTGAGCTGTAGGAATGGGCCAAGCAGGCAGAAAGGGAAGGCAGAGGGCAGGGTCTGGCACAGCTGTGATGCCAGGGCAGGTGAGAGGGCGGAGAGGCACCTGTGGCACTTGGGCACCTGGTCCTGGAGTCCCTCTTCCTTCCATCCTATCAGCCTCTTAGTGGTGTCTAGACACTGTGAAGAATCAATAAGATGTAGCTCCTGACTCTGTGTGTGTGTGTGCACGCGCGTGTGCGTGCAAACACATATCACCTGTGTGTACATGTGCCTGTGGATGTACTCATGGTGAGCCAAGAGTTTGACTGATGTGCTGAGGCTGTGTGTGAGTGGGTGTTGCCCCTAAACAACAGCAAAGAATTGTTGAGATGGGAGTTGTTCGTGGGGAACGTGAGAAGGCCGACGTGGCTTTGTTACCCCTGAGACGCAGCATAGAGAACCCCGAGCACATGTCTGGCAGTCATCTGGGGTGTACCTAAAGCTCAGGTGGGATCAGAGTAGATGTGAGGACTTGCAGCCATTGACATGGGGCTGAGGGTGGGGACCGCCAGGGTGGGGAGGAGGAACATCAGTGACGGGGGCCATTGACCAGCGTGAGACCCCGAACAGTCGCCCAGCCACACTGCTTACAGCGGTGCCTCTGTTCACTCACTTAATTCTTTCTTTGGTCCATGATGGTTCTGGTTGCAGACCAAATCGGTCAAGAACTGAATCAAATTTTTCTGGAACATCAGCATGGAAACTGATTATTGGATTTGATTCGGTTCTATCCAGTTCAGTTTGCGATCAGATTCATGGAAGGAATTGGGTGCGTGAATTCAGGCACCGCTGATTTGTTCTGTGTGTCAGTTTTGTTTGGGGCTTGGTGAATACATGTGTCCCCCTCCCCGAGAAGCCTAGACAGGGACTGTGCCTAAGGCAGGAGCCACGTCTTATCCAGAGGGCTCCTACAGACTGGCTATGGAATGGCTCCTGGAGAGGGCCTTGGAAATACTTCAGAATGAGAAGCACCATAGAAATTCAAAGGGAAATGAGGTGTTACTAAAAAGGGATTGGATACATTCTTGGACTAGTGATCTACAGGTTGTTATTCAGGAATCTAAGGCAAATTTGGAATCTCTCCAAAATATTTCAGATTATCTTTTCATTTAGGACAGTAGAAAATCATGAGGATTCTTCTTGGTTTTCTTCCAGCAACTTGGTGGTATTTATTAATCGTGCTAGTGGTTGTGACATTTTGATCATCACAGTTGCATGGATAATGGGTTTGGACTTACTCCTTCCCGAGCCTCAAATCTATGCAGTTTCCAGAGCGACCTTCACTGGGAAAATTGTGCCATAGCCGCCGACTCCAGAATTTCTAGACTTCATCTTTTGTGTTTCATGTCATATTTCTTGTCCAGATTTGGAACCTGGCTTCAAACAAACTCACCTTTTTGAATTCCTATAAAATGAAGATGTCAGTTATCCTGGGAATTGTCCAGATGGTTTTTGGAGTTGTTCTCAGCCTCTTCAATCATATGTAAGTTTCCTGATACACCCTCGGCCCATCAGTCCGGTCACACAGAAGAGGCAGAGCCACCGCTAGGCCCTGTGTCCCTCCGTGTGGGTCCCTTCCTATAGGGGCGGGACTTCCGGTATGTCTTGGCTTAAGCTGGGACAAGTTGGTTGGCCAGAAACAGTAGTAACTCTGTTTCTGCTGAGCGGAGTCTGTCCCAAGTGAGTGTATCTTGTCTCACCGCAGAAATATCTGGGGTTCAGCAAGAGGCTGGGAAGCCCACACATCCTGTGTGTCCCCAGCCTAGAAGGCCTAGGTTGGGCCTCAGCTCCTATCTGGTGGGCCAACGGGGACATGCGATTCTGGTCTGGGTGCCTCAGACTCCGCATGGTGTCCTTCTTCGTCGGCAGCAGCCTGTCTCCCCTTGTCTTGCCTGCCAGCCTCACTGTTCCATCACTGGGAAGCTCCTGAAGCTTTTCTGTGCTAAAAGTCTAAATGCTTGAAAATAGGGTGAGATGGGCCCATCGTGTGCATTTTGCAGACACAGTTGCTGACTTCCGGTGCCATTGACATCCCACCTGCCCTGTAGCGGGGGAGCTAGCGGGGGTGGCAGTCACCACAGAACAATGAAGGGTTTGGAATCTGAAGCTGAAGTCCTGGTTCCTACTCCCAGGACCTGTATGACCACAGACTCATTGCTTTACATCTCTGACTTTTTTTTTTTTTTTAATAGAGTAGGCGTGCATGGAATGGGGTTAAGTTATTGGTTCATAAACAAATCTCACATCTCAATGTTTATGACAAGGACACACGGCCGTCACTGGCTGGAGGGGGCTCTGCTCCTGTCATCCTTGTGAGGGGCCTATGCTGAGAGGCAGGCACTCCTGGGATCCCTGCCAGCTGGCATGGCAGGAGGGCAGTGAGTAATTCATTGACTCTGAAGTCGCCCGCCCCGGCGTGACACACGCGGCCCTTGCTGTTTCTATTCCTGTTGCATTGGTCAGAGCCAGGCACGTGATGACCGTGGAAGCTTGGTTCTAATCTGGAAAACCAGAAATAGAAAATGAGCAAGTACCCTGTTACCAGTACCTCCCGGGAAGTGCCTGAGGATGAAATGGAAAGTCACACCAGAGAGGTCTCTCCTCATGACGGGTCCAGCTACTCTGAACCGCAGTCCTGCCCTTTCCCCCGGATGACTCTTGCAATGCACAAAATATATGGAGGCCCTTTCTGGCATCCATTCTTGGGGGCCTCTCCCCGTAGTCTGTAGGGCTCTATCTTGCAGCAGGAACCAGCAAGCTTTCCTTGTAGAGAGAGTGACTATGGCGGTCTCGGTGGACCCTCCAGGCTCAAATGTCTCCATCCTGGCCTGTAGCATGAGGTCAGCCACAGATGCTACATAAGGAGCCACTGTGGCTGTATGACGCTAGGTCTATGCACACATCCATGCCAGAATTTCTTATCCTTTGCATGTGTCATGAAATATTCTTCTTCTTCTGCCCCCCAACATTAAAAAATGTAAAAATGACTCAACTTCCAGGCTGTACAAAGACAAGTGATGAGCTCGATTTGACTCACGGACCAGTTTGCTGGCCCAGCTTAGAGCAGTCATAGGAGAAAAACCTCTATGTTCCATTATTATGGCCCTTTGCCTTCAAATGTGCTCATAGGAGCAAAGTTTGCAGGGGGAGCCAGATCACCGACTCTGTCCGTGGGCCTGATTTGCTTAGCCGTTACCTTCTAGGTCCTGGCTCTCTCTGAATCTTTCTTGCCAAGCACTTTCCTGTGCACCCCAGTGGCTGCATGCTGCGGGAGGGCAGCTGCTTGGCAGCTGTGTTCAAAAAAGGAAGTGAACACTGTGTGCTTTGGGAGCTCACTGAAGCACTCATGTTCCTTGGATGTTCTATCTTGTATGTGCTTTCTCCACCCCCAGATACTTCAGAAAAACTCACAATATCGTTCTGCAATTCGTCCCCGAGATGATTTTCATCCTGTGCCTATTCGGGTACCTGGTTTTCATGATCGTTTTCAAATGGTGTCAGTACGACGCCCACATGTCCCGGAGTGCGCCCAGCATCCTCATTCACTTCATCAACATGTTCCTGTTTGACTATGACGACTCTTCCAACGTGCCCCTGTATGAACACCAGGTACTTCTGTTTTGAAAAGTTCTTCTTGTGTACCCACTTGACTACATCCTGTCTCACTAGCATTGAAGGGAGTCAGCCTTTGCAAGACTGAGCCACCTTAGCACTGGGGAAGGTTGTTCAGTTCTTTAATGCCCAACAGTTTCTTATTAAATGAGTGCCTAGTCCCCGAGAACTATGGTGTGGCTTCAGCCTTTCCTGTTGGGGGTGCTGCTAGGGGTTTGAAACCTGCTATGAAAAAAGAAAATAAGGGGCTGGGGATTTAGCTCAGCGGCAAAAGCGCCTGCCTGGCAAGCGTAAGGTCGTGAGTTCGGTTCCCGGTACCGGAGAAAAACAAAAAAAACCAAAAAACGAAAAAAGAAAATAATTCTGCAAACTTGAAACTGTAAGATGCTCTAAATAGTACCTTAATAGTTAATGATCTTGCTGGGTGTGGTGGCACACACCTGTAATCGGGGCACACGGGAAGCTGAGGCAGGAGGATCCTTATGAGTTCAAGGCCAGTCTGGGCTACAAAGTGAGCTCAAGGCCAGCCTGAACTGCATAGCGAGACCCTGTCTTAAAAAGACAAAAACAAAACAAAACAAAACAAAACAAAACAAAACAAAAACCACTAAAACAACAAAAATAGTCAATGATCTTTTATTCTTTTTATTAGTACATATTTGCATGGGGAATTGGTACGTGTACATAACACATCTTAGTTCTTTTTTTCCCTTCATCTTCTCCTCTCTTCCCTGTTCCTTCCAACTCTTTTTTGTTGTTGTTGTTATTTTTTGAGACAGGGTCTCCCTGTATAGTTGAGGCTGGCCTCAAACTTGCAGCATTTCTCTTGCCTCAGCCTCCCAAGTGCTGGGATTACAGGCGTGTGCCACCACACCTAGCTCCTCGCAATTCCTAATGATCTTTTAGCTAAAAAGCAAATTCTAGCTAAGGTTCACAAGAGAGAAAATAGAAATAGAAATAGAACCAAGAAGAGAAATTCCTGTGTTCACAAGGGCAATACATTTCTGGAAATCTATGCGTCCTACGCATGGCTTATTTTTTGTTCTTGTCCTTTTTTGCTCTTCTCCCAGGGACAAAATATCTGAACAGTTGGACTTTGGGGCCACTCTTACTTCTCTCACTGCTTTTAACTCCTTTATCAGCTTAACTTAGTTATCCCTTGGTATCCATAGTAGTTGGATTCTAAAATACCAAAACAAAATGCCAACACCCAGAGATGCTCAAGTGCCCATAAGGGTACTTGTGCCCTACACACACCTCCCTAGACTAAATCATCTCTAGATCACTTCTGATGCGTACCATAGTGGCAGCTCCATAGAAATAGTTGCTACGCTGTTTCATTTAGCGCAAATGTCTGTATGTGTTCCGTTATGATGCAGTTTTCTTTTTTCAGATATTTTTGATCTGTAGATGGTTGAATCTGTGGATGTAGAACTTGTGGAGAGACAAAACCAAGGGTGTTTTGGTTTTGTTGTGAATAAGTTTCAGTGTCCCTGTGGGAAAGGGTGTGAAAAGAACTCAGGGAGTGATTCTTCAAGCACGTAGGCTGTTCTCCTCCCTGACCTCTCTGGTGGTGAACCTGAGGATGCAGTTTGAGGACAGGTGTCCCCTCCTGATTGATTCCTCTGGATCAGCTCTGCGGCCAGCTGCATGATGCCGGGTGCTGCTGCCGAGGCAGGGGTCCTCACCAGTGGTCGCTCCCCCCAGGAGTGCTGCTGAACGGGCTCCTCCGGCCACACACATGTCCAGAGCTTTGAGTCCTAGCTGCCTTCTCTGCCTCTGCAGCAGCATCAAGTAAGAAGTAGAAATGCCTTGCAGAAATGCCTTTTTCCTTCAAGTGTATTTTCAGTTCTTACTTGCAGTGGGGCTTTTTATAGGGACTAATGTTAGCTAATAATTAGAGAAGAAGTACACCCCCGAGGGCCCTTTGGTGCCAAACAAGTCTCTTTTACGCAGAAGACTCAGATTCACCGCATAGCTCATCTGTTAACTGCTTTCCTAGATGCCAAAGCCCTCCTCTCTCTGGAAAATGCACTGAGCACTCCACAGTGAGTGGCTTTTCCAGCCTTTTTCTATTCAAAAACATGATTGGGAGTTGGCTGGCTTCCCCACGCCCCAGGATAAAGATGGATGATCTTGGCACAGGTTGAAATTTCTATAACCTCATTTTAGGGTCATGCAGCTGGAGGAGATGATGTCAGTTAAGAAAGTCCCCGCTCAACTTGCTCTTGCTGGCTTTGACTGTGAAGCAAGGATCCATGGATAAGCATGTGCACGCATGCTCGTGCGCACACACACACGCACACACACACACACACATGCACATGCACGTGCCCCTTGCTAGGTGCTTTGCACATCACCTTGTTATAGAAATGTACAAATGACAGTGAGGAAGTTCTGTGGGCAGAGGAAAGGAGGAGCAAATTCAGCTCAGGAACACGTGATCATCTTTCCCTCTTTTGAGCATTTAAAACAGAGAGCAGTAGAAGATTGAACAGATAACGTGTTCCCACTGCTTTGGGGAAAATCTTGGGAATCAAACTCAGGACCTCGAGCTTGCCAGGCAGGCGCTGTGCCACTGAGCTACATCCCCGGCCCTGGGGCAAATCTTGTTACATGGGGATTGTAAACGTTCTCCTTGCTCAGGCTGTGAGCGGGTCAGAACAGCTGAACAGACTCGAAGGCCAGAGAACCGCTTCTTTTTCCTTCAAGTGTATTTTCAGTTCTTGTAGTAGCCCCCGGGTCTGCCAACCGTCACCTTCAGAGTCACCCTCAGAAGGCAGAATTGGGGTGCAGGAGAAGAGGTGGGAGTCTGAAGATAGGAAAGGAAGCAGTCAGCAGGGTGATAAATGGGGCTGTGCCTGATCCCCAGCAGAGGCCAGGGCATACCAGAGGCCACGCTGCAAAGCCACCTGTAGTGAGAACTGACGCTGAGGCCTAACTGGTTGTCCCGAGCCTATGGTATTAGGAGACTGTCACACCCTGACAGGGAAGTGGAGTAGGCTTTGGTTTTCTCTTGAGAGGGAATGGGCAAAAAAGCTTAGATGATTATTTATTTTATTTTAAAGAGAAAAAAAAATAAGGAAAAAAATTGAAAACAATACAGAATTTCAAAACAAGATGATAGGAAGTTAACAGTGGTTGTTATATTGCATATTGTCATCTTCAAACTAGTTGTTCAGATTATCAGATATAGACATGCAAAACTGATGAAACAGTTAAACATTCACTGTGCTTTCAATAAATCAATGCAAATTAGTAGTACAATTATCTTAGCTATATATGTGTGTGTGTGTGTGTGTGTGTATACATATATTCCCTTCTTTCTTTCTTTTTTTCTCCTTTCCCCCATCCCTGCTGTTCTTTCCTTTTGAGCAGTTTCTACAGGCCAATCTCCCTAGTGACCAATAGATGATTATTGAGTAGTGGAAACATAAAATCGCTGATTGAACAATGTGATTTAAAGTGACCTCTGGACTTTGGCTACTAGAGAGTGGCTGATGCAGTCGGAGGGTCTGCTACAATTTTTATCCAGAAACAGGGGTAGCTATGCCTATGGAACAAGGAAAGAGTAAAGCTGTGTTTATAATGTACCTTCTTGTTCTAATGGTGCCACTACATGAGTGCTTCTTGTTCTAATGGAACCACTACATAATAAGATGCAACACACAGAGGACACAAAGGGCACCTGCACTGGTTAGTGGGTACCATAGGACTGATGTTTCTCCATCTACAATAGAGATATTCCAGGTGTGAAAGTGAATGTATTCAGAATGCTTTCGATCTCTCAAAATGTTGCCAAAATGACCCTAGTTAGGATTGTGGTCATATGAATTGTGACTGACAGGTAGTGAATGTTTAAGTAAAATAATTTATTTCAGTAGAAGAGACATTGCCACTAATGCCCCCTCTTTTTAAACAAACTTATCCCATTGTTCTTGCTGCTTTCTGAAGCAGTTCTGGAAGTCTTCTTTCCTGAGTGTCTTTAGTTACACTGTCATGGCTGCCTAGATGTCCCGAATTGATTCAAAATGCTTACCTCTCGTAGTCATCTTGACTTTGAGCCCGAAGCTACATGGTACCAGATCCCAGAATAAGGTGGATGAAGACACACTGTAATGTTTTTATGAGCCCACCTTTCTATTGGATTTAACTCAGCAGTAGCATCTGCTATATTTTTAAAGATCATACCTCATCAAGACATGAAAGAGAACTTCCAGAACTACTTCAGAAAGCGGTAGGAACGATAGAATAGGAGTGTTTGGGATGAAGAGAAGCCTCCTGAGCAGGACTAATGACAGCGTGTCTTTTACTATAATAACTTTTTAAACCTTTTTGTTTTGTCTTTTAGAGACAGGGTCTCGCTACACAGTTCAGGCTGGCCTTGAGCTCACTTTGTAGCGCAGGCTGGTCTCGAACTCTCAAAGATCCTCCTGCCTCAGCCTCCCGAGTGCTAGGATTACAGGCGTGCGCCACTACGCCCAGCCAGATTTTTAAAATTTTAAACACTATTTTTTATCAGCCTTTGTATAAAAGTGTGCTTTGTGGTTACCTTCAAATGATAGGATCTCTTGGTTTTGCAGCGAGAAGTCCAAACTTTCTTTATTGTAATGGCCTTGGTTTCTGTGCCGTGGATGCTTCTGATCAAGCCACTTATTCTTAGAGCCCAGCACCGGAAATCCCAGGTAAGGACTGGGTTTCAATTCGCTTCCTGGAAATGGAGCTTAGCGGTAAGGCAGGTGTTGAGGAGTGGACTGTCACAGTCTGTGACTATGGCTGCGTGGAGGATGAAAAGAGTACTCAGAGAAGAGAGTCTGAACCCCGAACCCTGAGACGGCAAAGGGACTGTCCTGAGAGAGCTCCCAGTGTAATCGAGTCTCCAGAGAGCAGCCCCACACCGAGAACTCTTTGGCTTTTCTTTAGCACAGCAAAGCAAGAGAAAAGAACAGAGGAAAAACAGTCTGGGAAGCAGCTGGGAAAGTGGAAGAACAATGGTGGGACACAGCACACTTCACACATCTGAACTCGTTGCTGTTTTCCAACTGAGCTTACTTAGCTTTTCCCTGGGGGGTTCCTTCACAGTTTAACCGTTCACTGCTCAGCCACCTGCCCTGCCTCAAGGGCTTCTCTCAGCAGAGTTGCTCCCAGGCCCTTTGTTTCCAATAGAATGACACCCATGTTTCCAAACACCTTGACTCTGAGGCCCAGAAGCCTGCTCAGGGTTCATGTGGGTCACCTAGTGGTCGGTAATGATAGGTAAGGGTTTGAACTTGGTTGTTTCATTATTGAACATAGGAGTATTTTACCATAGGTTTATTTGTTTGTTTGTTTGTTTTTGTTTTTCTTCCGGTACCAGGAATCGAACTCACAACCTTGCGCTTGCAAGGCAGGCGCTTTGCCGCTGAGCTAAATCCCCAGCCCCCCATAGCTCTATTTTTTTAAGTGAGCATTCAAAGTTTTTTTTTAGCCAGGCAGTGTGGCCTGTGTGGGTAATCCCAGCTACATTGGTTCCTGAAGCAGGAAGATTGTGAGTTCAAGGCCAGCCTGGGCAACTTAGCAAGATCCTGTTTCTAAAAGAAAGCTGGTTTTTTTCTTCAGTATTCTAAAGCTGTAAGATTTCATTACATTAGTTTCAGGATGTGTCAGGGAATTAGATAAAGTAGTAAATGAGTTCAAATAAGTCAGTTTGTATTTTTTGGTGATTTCCCACCTTTGCCAAATACCAGTTTTAGCTACTTCCTCCCTTTGTCTAACTGCTCCTGAGATATAAATTTATGCAGGCAGTGAAGAAAAGTTGAATTAATATCAGCCTCAAGCAAAGAGAACTTAGGAAGATTATCCCTCCCAGGGGATTCCGGAGCCTGGTTGTGACACACAAATGCTGTTTGAGATGATTCTTTGCTTTTCCCATTAGGGCAAAAGATTAAGTGGAGTGAACTGAGATCACATATGTTTTAAAGGGTTGGAAGTATTTTTACATTAAATTCTACTTTTCTAAAATCTGTGTTGGTTATTGACCTCAAATACGGTAAAGCGAATGACAAGGCAAAGAACACTTGTTTATTTCTTTAACTGGGAAGAGTCCAAGATAGTTAAAGGACATGGGGGTCTGCTTCATAAGAAGCTGAAAGGCTGGGTTCAAATTCTAAGTCCTGTGTGGGTCTTCTGAGTTCTTATTGTTGGAGAATCTGGGACTGAACCAAGAGGAAGACATGGCACAGAGGTACTTGGAAGGCAACAGCTTTATTATGCCGGTGAGCTGGTGGGAATCAGTTCCAAATCACCAGACTTGACTTAGGGTAAAGCAGGAACTTGTATACGGTTTGCAAGCAGGAGGTACAAAAGCAGGTAGCAGGTTATTCTACAATTGGTTACATATGTTCCAGTCATACATTGCTAGGCAGATTCACCCTGGGCTGGCTTTAAAGGAGGTCATTTATCATATGGTGGGAATGACAGAGAGAGTCAGGACCAGGTGAGGAAGTATAATCAGTCAAGCATGTCTTTGACTGGGCTACTCTGTCCCTGGTACACAGACTACGGAACAGGCCAGCAAACAGGATATGTCTGCAGACTATATTGCAGCTGGATGAGGTCAGACAGAGCTGGGCCAAATTATCTCTGAGTTTTTAGCTAGTGTAGTCAAGGCTAACTGAGTCCAGCTGCTCATCTACGAAGCTGCTAGTTTTAGGGCCGGGGATATAGCTCAATGGCACAAGCACCTGCCTGGCAAGTGCAAGGTCCTGAATTTGACTCTGGTATCAAAAAAAAAAAAAAAAAATTGAAGCTGCTAGTTTTAAAATTTTCTATTACATTATGAGAATCAGCTAGGAGGCTAGAATATATTTTGTTTAAGAGTATCTTGGTTTGATTTATAACTTTTAAATATTTAAACAATATCGCATGTGCACTTCCAATTTTACCCTGGCCCACAACCCTCCAAATATTAGGTGCAGATTTGCTAAAGAAACAAAGATTTTTTTTTTTTATGCCTAATTTACAATACTCCTATGCAATTGTTCTAGGAAAGACTGGATTCAGGACATTAAACTTCGCAGTGATCTGAAAGAAATACAAATTAAGCATCCCTAATCCAAAATGCCCTAGAATCTAAAACTTTTGGAGGTCCTACATGATATCATAAGTGGTAAAGCCCACACCTGACGTCACGTGATGACTTGTAGTAAAAATACAGATGCAAGCAGCCAGACGTCGTGCATGCCTGTAACTCCAGCAGTGTGAGGGGCTCAGGTGAAAGGGATGCGCGTTCAAGTCCAGCCTGGGCAATTTAGCAATTTAGCCAGACCTTGTCTCAAAACAAACAAACAAACAAAGCCAGGCGTAGGGGTGCATGCCTGTAATTCCAGTACTTGGGAGGTTGAGGCAGGAGGATCATTGTGAGTTCAAGACCAGTCTGGGCTACAAAGTGAGCTCAAGGTCAGCCTGAACTGCATATTGAGACCTTGTCTCAAAAAGACCAAAACAAACAAACAAACAAAATCTGGAGATGTAGTTCATTGTGAAGGCTCTCGGTTCAATCCCTAGTACCACCAAAAACAAACAACAGCAACCGGTAGGCATATTTTGATGATAAAAATATCATTAAGTTACCAGCAGGTTACGTGTGTAAGGTGTTCGTGGAACACAAAGGAATTTTGTGTTTACGCCCAGGTTCCTTTTTTTTTTTTTTTTTTTGGTACCGGGAATTGGGAATCGAACTCAGGACCTGGCACTTGCCAGGCAGGCACTTATGCCACTGAGCTATATCCCTGGCCCATGCTCAGGTTCCATGCACATGCAAATATTCCAAAATTTGAAAAAAAAAAAATAAATAAAAATAGAAATCTTAAATACATCCAGTCCTGATCATTTCAGATAAGAGATACTCAATTTGTACTGTGTTCAATCTTTGGGGTAAAACCAGCCCCACTGAATTATGATTGTACCTAGATTATTTTCTTTGACTGTTTTTCTTTTTAATTTTTTGGTGCTAAGGACTGAACCCAGGGCTTCCTGCTTGCTAGACAAGCATTCTACCACTGAGCTAAATCCCCAGCCCCAAGGGGGGTTTTTTGAGACTGGGTCTCACTATGTAGTTCAGGCTGGGCTACAACTTACTGTGTAGCCCAAGCTGGCCTCCTAACTCAGACTCCCAAGTAGCTGGGATCACAGGTGTGTGCCACCACCCCCAACTCATGTTTTTATTTTAGAAAGTATATTTGTGTTAGAAGATTTAACCTTTCTTAGTTAATTTTGCCCATAGAAATCTGGCTATTTAAGTCCCATGGCTCTGTTGAAGGTACAACTGACCAGATGGGAGAGGACGTTTTTCTTTTAACCATAGAAAGACATTTTTGCGTTCATGTTGCTTTTCTGTGCACGGTTTGTCATTTTCTGGAGTCCTACGGGGAAAAACATATACTCTGGAATCAGACCACTTGGATTTGAAGCCTGTTCCTATCACTTAGTGGCCTTACCAGCTGTGTGGTCTTGGACACATTTCTTAACCTTTCTGTGCTAGTTTCCGTCTCTGTAAGTGATAATTATGCTTGTACAATTATGCTTATCTCAGCCTTTTTTTTTGAAGGCTGAGATAGCACTGAGAAAAATTTAGACCAGTTTCAGATCCTTCTTAAGTTATTTTAAAATAGTGTCTCACGAAGACCGCAAGGTTCAACTTGCAATCTGCCTGCCTCAGCTCCCAAGTATGCTGGGATTATGTGTGTGCGTCACCACGTTGGGCCACAGCTAACATTTAAGAGACTTTATTTTATGCAGTGTGGTTATAATAATAAGGGTGTGTTTAGTATTCTCTTGTTTGCTTGCTTGACAGCTGCAGGCTTTCACGGTCCAAGAAAATGCCACAGAGGACGTGGAAAGTGGCACCTCCAGTCCCTCTGATTCTGCAGATGCCCACGGGGCTCAGGATGACCATGAAGAGGAGGTATCTGCCACCAGGACACCCAGGGCAACCCTCAAGTTTGTGCAGATTGTGGAGGATCTGGTGTTACCAGTTGCTAGGTGTGGTCACTGGGCAGTCCGTGTGAGCACAGGCCTGGGGCTGGCAGAGCCTGGAGGCACCTGCTGACCCCGGCCCTGGAGCACCAGTGTCTCGGGAGGTAGGCAAGTGGGAATGTCGAAGGGAAATGGACCAGCTCTTTCCCAGCCACTCTGGAAGCATTTTAATATTTTGGCCAAGCATGGCTCTTCCTGTAAGAGGAGGTGAGTACCAGCTGCAGAGGTGGTGGGACGGGGGTCCTAGTGTTGCTGTGGGCTCTTGGCTTAGAACCACACCCCTACCAGCTGGCTCCATTCACCTTGCTGTAGCCCATTGGTGCCCTGGATGACAGCAGGGCCCACATCTAGCCTGAGATATCGAAGCCGCATGTGGATTACTGATTCGCAGCTGTCTTCTCCCACATGGGCACACACGGCCACCATAGCTTCTTTGCCTCCTGGCCTCCATCTTGAACTGGTTCACTTACCTTTTACCCTTAGTTGCCTCCACTGAGAAACCATAGCTTGCGTTTTTCTCTCCCTGCCTGTCCTCTCATTTTCCCTGGGGAAAGCAGCTGCCTGTGTTTTGGGGGTGGGCAAAGTCAGCCCCAGCCCTCTGGGAGCTTTCCATGTGCTCTATTCCAGTTCCATAGTGGGGACTGGACTCCCGTGCGGGCCAGAGACACTGCATACACTACATACGGCTCCATTTTTGTAGTTAATTATTTAAAGAATCTCACTTCAAATGAATGGATGATCAACTGGAATTAGCGAAAAATGTGAACCATGGGAAATTTCCCTAAGATTCCAGGGACAGAGATGAAGCCAAGATATCGGTTGTTGGTATGACTAACTGTCTGACTTGCTGGACCCACACAACCTCAGACTCAAGTCCCAGCCTGTGCAGGCCGAGCTCGCTCATCTGTTCTGCTCTCAGCCCTGTTACATGGGCAGGCAGTTTCCCCCGTACCTCTGTGACCCAGCTGCCTGTCAAGGACTGTGGTCTCCTTCCTAGCACTCCCCAGGCACCGTTGTGCAGGGGCTTCTTACCGGAGGCAAACGAGGCTTGCCTTGCTTCCCCCGTCAAGTGTCTCCCTGACCTCCCTCCTCCCCAGGAGTTAGCCAAGTTCAAGTTCAAGGCCACATCTGCCCACAGACCAGCTGCAGCCACTGTCATTTCAGACCAGCAGGCTACACACTGGGTGAACCTCTCAGACTCCTCCAGGCTCAGCAATTTGCAGAATAACTCACATAACTCAGGAAAAGGCTCTACCATTATACTTTTTTGTTGTAGTAAAAGGATACAAATCAGAAGGAGCCAAAGGTGGAGGCACGTAGGATAGTATCCAGGAGTTGGAGGGTTCCAAAATGAAGCTTCTGTGCCTGGGGGACGCATTCCCAGCACCAGAGTGCGGCAGTATGTGCACAGTGCCACCAGCCCAGGAGGACGTCAGGGCCTAGTGTTTCTGGGGTCCCATTCTGCAGACAAGATGGTCCACGTCAGCCGTTTCTAGCTCCTCCCGTCCTTCAAGAACTGTCCCAAGCCGGGGATATAGCTCAGCGGCACAAGCGCCTGTCTGCCAAGTGCAAGGTCCTGAGTTCGATCCCCGGTACCAAAAAAAAAAAAAAAAAGAATTGTCCCAAGTCCTTCACCACATGGGTGGACGTTCTAGTGCGGCCCCCCATAATGTATCAGGGCAGTTCGAATAACAAAACACGCCAGGGGCTTAGGGTTTCTCCTGGGAGCTGGGACTGAACCAGTCCTCTCTTGGGTCGGATCTGTTCTTTGCCACACTCTTCTCCTCTATCCCTGCCCACTCCATCCCTGCCCGCCTCATCCCTTCCATTCCTATAGCTGTTTCTATGGCTGAGTTGACTTTTTTCTTTTCTCCACAGCCCAACATACTGACTGCATCCTCCCTCCTTCCCGGATGCCGCTCTGTCCTTATGTCCTGGACCGAGGCTCTCACTTCTCCAGCTACTTTGACCTGTTCTTTCCCCAGCACTTTCTTTTTCTCTTAGCTTTGACAAAGGTGTTTCCCAAGGCCGGAAGCTCCTCTTCCTGCAACTTTTCCTTGTTGCTCTTCCTCTTCCTTCTGCAGATGAAGTTCCAGGTGTCTGCTTTCAGCCTGGCCTTTGCTTCCGATTCCGTCGCCACCTCTGGCACTGTGTGCAGACAGATTCTGTTCTGTGACCTGCTGTCCCCCTGAAGTCACAGTGTGTGAGTGTCGCTGTTCCCCTCCCCCTCCAGTTTGTCCAATGCCTCCAATGTAGGAGCTCTTAGCTTTTTGTTTTGTTTTTGCTTTTTTTCTGGTACCAGGAATCAAACTCACGACCTTGTGCTTGCCAGGCAAGTGCTGTGCCGCTGAGCTAAATCCCCAGCCCCAGGAGCTCTTAGTTTCTTGGGCCCTGGGCTCCGAGGCCCTTAGAGCCCGCGGTGACCCTGGCCGCCCTTGGTTAGGAGGCCTTTCCCTGTGTTCCCAGCGGGCACTGCGGGTTTTCAGGCTGTGTGTGCGTGTGTTGTCCCTGCTACCTGTGAGCCACTGGAGGGCAAGGGCAGATTGCTGCCCACATTTCAGGATGCAGGAAGGAAACCAGCTCATTCCTGCATTGCTGGGCAGATCTCAGTGCTGGCCCTTTTGCATGTGGGCTGTGTCCTCTCAGTTCTGCTCTGCTCCCAAATGAACCCTCCATCTTTACTTTTCACTCCTAGTTCTCCTCTCCGCCCTCCCTGCACCTTGTCTTTTCAGCAACTTCAGTGCCTGAGTGGTATCTTCTGTCCCTGCCCTGAACCAGTTTGCAGTTTGGGCTCAATGGTTTTCTCCCTAACTTGACTCAATATTTCCAGCCTTTTCTCTCCTGGGAGTCCTTTTTCTTATCAGGAACAGCCTGCTTCTCTTTCACTTCCAGGTCCCCTCCCCTGCATGGCTCGGCATAAATCTCACCCCCAGCCCTCCTTCTTCTGGTCTCTTTTTTCAATGATTTCTGGGAAACATAACTGCACACACCATGTCCTACTTAGTCCCACTGGCTCTCTTTCCTCAAGCGTATTAATGTTCATTTTCCCCGAGTTAGACTGGGCGTATCTTAACAACAAAAAGCATATCTTATTCATCTATGTGTCATTTTAAAAATATATTTTGTGCTGGGTGTGGTGGCACATGCCTGTAATCCCAGCACTGAGGAGGCTGAAGCAGGAGGATTGCTGTGAGTTTGAGGCCAGCCTGGGCTACAAAGTGAGCTCAAGGCCAGCCTGAACTACATAGCAAGACCCTGTCCCAAAGACTATATATATGTATATATATAGAGAGAGAGACACACAGAGAGAGAGAGAGAGAGTGGAAGGAGGGAGGAAGGGAGGGTGGAGAACAGGTAAGAAAACACAGTTAGAAAGAATGAGTTCAGTGTTTCACAGCACAGCAGGGTGACTGTAGTTCACAGTAACCTGTTACATATATTTTTAAAGAACTAGAAAAGAGGGGCTCAGTCGCCCTGAACAGAAAGAAACGATAAGGAGCTGGAAACACAAAAGGCCTGATAACTCCCCCCACACATGTTCTGTACATGTGTAGAAATTTCACACTGTCCCACAAATACGTACAATCATTGCCTATTAATCAAAGATTTTAAAAAGTAAAGAAGTGGATTTTGATGTTCTCAAGACAAGAAGCAGCAAAAGGAAGTACTTGGTGAAACAAAATCGAAATGTTCCCTTTCAGTTCAACTTCGGAGACGTCTTTGTCCACCAGGCCATCCACACCATCGAGTACTGCCTGGGCTGCGTCTCTAACACGGCCTCCTACCTGCGGCTCTGGGCGCTCAGCCTGGCGCACGCCGGTGAGTGATACGGCACCCGGCACCTGTCGACCAGGCAGGGCGCGTCTCCTGGGGCCCTTCCCTAAACCTCACCTGACTCTCAGCACTTCCTACAGGGGCCGCGGTTAGAGATTAGGGCTTTCATATATGAGTCTGGGCTGGCACACAGACACTCAGCCCACAAGAAGTCCTGAGGCTTGTGTACTTTTGGGCTTTGCTTTTGTGTGTGTATAAGTCATAGTTGTAGTTTGCTCTTCCCTGGTGAGTAATACGCTACCATGTGTGAGGTGTGGTTGAAAAATGAGGTGAATGTTTCAATTTTAAGAATTTACTATAATGAAAGACATAGTGCCCTTCACCCCCCTCAAAATAATTCCCCTTATTTCAAGCACACTTATCCCATCATTCTTTTTTTTTTTTCTTTTCCGGTACCAGGAATCGAACTCACGGCCTTGCGCTAGCCAGGCAGGTGCTGTGCTGCTGAGCTAAATCTCTATCCCATCATTCTGGCCACTTTCCGAAGCAGTTCTGGAGTCCTCTTTCCTGAGTGTCTAGTTTCACTGTCATAGCTGTCTCCATGTCCTGAATCAATTCAAAACATTTACCTTTCATGGTCATTTTGACTGCAGGGAAGAGCCAGAATTTGCAGTGACAGATCCTATACATAAGGGGGATGAGAATGTGCAGTAATGTTCTGATGAGCCTGCCTTTCTGTTGGATCGCTCTCAGCAACAGCATTCTCCATGGTTTTGATCACACATCATAAAGACACTCAGGAAAGAGCACTTCCAGACCTTTTTCAGAAAGTGGCAAGAATGATAGGGTCAGTGTATTTGAAGGGAGGGGGACTAATGGCCGTGCGGTTTTTTGTTCATTTGTTTTGTTTTTGAGACAGGGTCTCGCTAGGCATTTGAGGCTGGCCTTGAGCTCACTTTGTAGCCCAGGCTGGTCTCCAACTCACAAGAACTCACAATGATCCTCCCGCCTCAGCCTCCTGAGTGCTGGGATTACAGGCGTGCACCACTATGCCCAGCAGCAATGTGTTTTTTACTGTCATAAATTATTTAAAAATTTAAGCATTCACTACATACAGCATTTTGATCACACCTCGTATTCGTTTTCCTCTGGAGGACAAAGGTGCTGTAGCCACTCTCATGCGCAAGCCCCAGGATGTTCTCCATCTCAGAATGGAGCTGCTGACCTAAGAAGATGGTCTAAAACTAATCTGCATTTGCAAGCCAGACCCTGGGTTTGAGACTGTTGCTTGCATCTTGCAGAACTGTCTGAAGTCCTCTGGACCATGGTCATGAACATCGGCCTCCGTCTGCAAGGCTGGGGAGGACTCGTTGGGGTGTTTGTCATTTTTGCAGTGTTTGCTGTTCTGACGGTGGCCATCCTCCTCATCATGGAGGGCCTGTCTGCCTTCCTCCACGCCCTGCGGCTGCACTGGTGAGCACAGTTGTCCCCGGGAGACGCGGGGTGGTGTAGGGAGGGACCAGCTGCAGGGCCAGCCGACTGGGCACACAGCCTCATCTGTCGTGTGACATTCGGGATGTATGTGCCTTGCCGGAACATGAGTTTAGTCTTCTGTTCGGACAGTATTAAATGACATAATAAACATTTACACAGACACTGGCTGCCCTCTAATAAATACTAGTTTTTTTTTTTTTTTTACTCTCTTTTAAAAATCAAGTGTTCATTTGTTGTAATGGCTGGCTTTAAGTGGTACCTCTGAGCATAGGTAAGGCGACAGGTCTGAAATAGGCTCAGGGACGGTATGCTGTGCAGGGTGGGAGTTATATCTTAGAACAAGGTCCTGAATTCTAATGGGACGTTCACAGATGTACCCAAAGACTAGCGGGGACACAAGGCTCCCTCCCTCTGTGGCTGCTGCTGAGCGGGAAAGCTTTTACACTTATGCACTGAGGGGAGAGAATAATAACAGCCCCTATGCCTGTGACACCCTCTCTGCCATGTCTTCAAGGCTGTAAGCCCTGTAAGGTCATAAGACATCCACAATCCGACATGATAGTAGTGAAGTTATAAGGGCACAGGCCCAGGTAGTGATTGCTCTGTAGCAAGGGCCCACAGTTGGGACAGGGTGGCCGTGGACTGTGGGGATAACCTTGGGAATGGCTGTCACATTGTGCATGGGAGACGTCACCTAATGCCTGTGGGGTGGGCGTCTGCACCTGCCATGGAGGCTGGCGAGCTGTGACTCAGGCAGGCCCGGAGGGTAGGCTGGGCGGGGAAGGGAGGAGGTAAGAGTGGGACAGGAGAAGGGCTTGGGATGTTATCAGGGTTCCCACGGCAGCCACCAGCCCATAGCATTTCCTGGCCGGCTTTTCTGACCTTTAGCTTGCTTCTTACAAGCGTGCTGCATCTAGTCTCCTCCCGCCAGCCTCTAACTATGTGTTCCGTCTCCTTTCCTCCCACGGCTCCCAACACCAGGGTGGAGTTCCAGAACAAATTCTACACCGGGGCTGGGTACAAGTTCTCTCCGTTCTCCTTCAAGGACATCCTGGAAGGGACAGCCGAGGAGTAGCTGCAGCCTGCGCCTCCCGCGCCAGGGCCTGTGCCAGCAGGACGCGTTGAGCCTTGTTGCCGATGGAAAGCGTCCCGTGGATGATGGTTCTTGGCTACCAGAGGCATGAAGCAGTGTGTTTTTGGGTGTAAGCCTTGGAGTTTGACAACCGCGTCAGAGGGGAGCTGCTTTGGCAGTTCCTTTGGACTTCATGGGAGGTCTTAATTACCAACCAATAAAATGATTGGGAAGAGAGGGGGCGTGTGTGAACCGAGTCTGCTTGTAATACTCAAAGTATTGTAATCAAGAAAACAAACAAATGAGTCATTGATTTTTTTCTGTATGATGTCTTTATTCAAAACCATCCCATGACATTTAACATTGATAATTACAAGCCAGAGGGGACAATGGAGTTACACAAACTAATCCCAGAGAGGGATCGGGTTTATTGTATTCCCTCATTTCCCTCTTCCTTGCCTTGTCTTGGCTTAGCATTACACGCTTGAGAACTTTCTCATGAATTTCCACTCCAGGTGAGGAAGGACAGGTTGAGTTCCCTGTGCTCAGGGAGGGTTGCCCTGGTGCAGCTCTGCTTGGGCCAAGGGCTGCGCAGTGAGGTGTGACAGAGCTCAGTCACATTCATTGTCTGCTCAGTAACTGGAGAAGCAGGTAGCGGGGGTGTGGGCCGGGCCCAGAAGTGGAGAACCAGGAAGCACTACCGCACAGTCTGGCCCTGGCCCCACACGTACTTTCTCAGGGCACCTGGCCTGGCCCGCTCCCAAGAGCCCGCTAAGATTCATGCCATGGGCTGTTTGGTCTGCATCGCCTTCACCCAGGTGAATAATCATCTCTGTGGTAACTAAGTCTAAACACACATTTTTGTGGTGCTTAACCATTGAAGAGGTCCTTTTATATAATATTTAGCTCTAAATATGCATTATCAGTAAATGAAGTTTGAAAGGAGCTGATGGGATGGAATTCACCTTTGCGGTGGGACTACTTTTTGCCCCCAGTTGCCACCCGTATGCAGGCCTGACAGCCATCCATGCAGGTGGGATGCTTGTCTCTAAGTGGAAGCTTCCATGTCACTGCTGGGCACGTCCTGCCCTCAGTGCAGTGGAGGGCACGTAGTGGGTGCTCAGGAGGTGTTCACTGAGGGCGGTTGTGTAAAAGGGTGCCAGGTGGAGACGTGCATGCTCAGGTTCTGACCCTGACGCTTTGTCATGTGGACTCTTGAGCAAGAAATGGAGTTGTCGGCCCGTGTTCAGCTGGGGACTATGGCGCCGCCTCTGGTGCTGGAGCGGGAGCTTGTGGACGCTGTTGGTAGGGCCCCAGCCACCTGCCCTCTGATTTTGAACGCAACAGCTGTGAGAGAACCGCTCCCTGCCCCTTGCTTGGAGAAAGGACCAGGCCTCTTAGAAACTCTGCCCCTGAAATGAACATTCATTTCCTCCCGTGGGCGGCTGAGCTCTGTCTCCAGAAGGGATTAATTTCCCCTTTAAAAGGGCTCTGGGGAGGGCTGCTGGGCAGGGGGTGTGCCCAGGTGTCAGCCCTGCCCCGGGGTGCAAGGTTGTCCCTGCTGCAAGCTGCCTGGAGCCCTGAGGGGAGGAGGAGGGAGCCCAAGGGCCAGGCGTGTCCCCAGGGGGTCCCGGAGCTGAGGCATCAGCGCTCAGACTTCACCTGCGACGGGCTGTGGCCAGGTGGACCGAGGGGCCGGGAAGGGACAGCTTCCCGAGAACTAAGCACAGGTAAGAAATCCTGCGGGCCGGAGAGCTGCCTGCTGCTCCTGCTGCGGACGGGCGGGAGGGGGGTTGACTATTAGTGCGTAGTTGAAGGCAAATGGGGTGTGAACACTTCCTTTTGATTGGTATTGTTAAACTTCACACACTCATGCGCGTGCACACACGCGCACACACATATTCTTCAGGTTTAAATGATCCACAAAGTCCCAGTTATTTCTAGAAAAAAATTCAGTACATCAAAACAATAAAATAAAATGCCACGCGATTCTTTATAATTTGTATTAACGAAGCTTGAGCTCTGTTGGAGCCTTTGCATTTCAGAGAAATTCTCCCAACCTGTCCATTTCTTTTCCAAGCTGTTTCCCACAGTTACTCTCCCGTTGTAGTTTTTAGGAGCTGATGATAAGGAACCTCTTGTGTTATTCGCTGTTTCCCTCCCTTCCACTCCTCGCTTCTTTCCTTCCTTCCTGTCTTTAGCTCAGCGACGCATGCAAGACTGCTTGGCAAGCGTGAGGTCCTGAGTTCAATTTCCGGTTCCAAAAAAAGAACAGATGAGACTTCAGCCTTTGTGGTGCTCCATTTTGTAGGGGCTGTGGACCCTTAGGTGGCATCAGCCCAGAAAGATGGGCCCCTTTTAAGAGAAAGGAACCTGTCTCTGCATCTTAGCAAACAGCCAAGCTGACACCCTGCGGTTGGAGACTTCCTCTTACAAACCTTGGGTGGCTTCCTTTCTGAGCACCTAGCGTAACAATGCCCCTTCCTAATAACCGAGCAAGTAAAGATCTTCAAAAAGAAAAGTGGAAAAGAGAAGTGGGATGGGACCACTACTTTACAAAAACCGGCTATTGGTGCCTGCTCTGAGGCCCCTCCTCCACTGGGGTGGCTGTGCACCAGCTTTCTCTCCAACACCTGTAATAAATCACTGCTGCTTTACACTGACTCCTTCCTGAGTCAGAGAGAGAAAGAGAGAGAGAGACAGAGACAGAGAGAGACAGAGAGAGACAGAGAGACAGAGAGAGACAGAGAGAGACAGAGAGACGGAGAGAGACAGAGAGAGACAGAGAGAGAGAGAAACCCGGGAGGATGAGTAGACCCTGGACCCAGCAGAAGGGACCATTTCAGAGTTAAGTTCTCTAAAATATTTTATCTTCTGTTTTGATGAAACTTTTCAGCAGGGCATGGTGGCGCATGCCTGTAATCCCAGCACTCAGGAGGCTGAGGCAGGAGGATTGTTGTGAGTTTGAGACCAGCCTGGGCTACAAAGTGAGCTCAAGGCTAGCCTGAACTATGTAGCAAGACCCTGTCTCAAAAAGACAAAAAAAAAAAAGGAAACTTTTGGCTGAAACATGGGAAGATTCCATGAAAATGCTTTCCATAGAATCTTAACTAACTGTGGGTAGCGAGTCCTCTCCCTGCTTGGGATACAGTCTCCTTTTACAATCTGCACACACCAACCTTAAACCCTGACAACACAGCCTCCTCCCCAGCAAAGGGTCCTGCTGTAAATAAGCCCTGTGTCACCAGGGGCCTCAGAGGTGCGCTTTCTCTGGTGCAAGTGAACTTGGCAACCTCCCCTGTCCTGATAGCTCACTGGGATGTGACCATCCCAAGGAAGGGCATGAGGAAGGTGGATGTCCAAATGGGGGACATTGGACACTGCTCTGGTGGCCAGGCAAGGGCCACCCCGCTCCTCTGAGTGGAGTTTGAGTGAGTTGCAACTCACTTTCCCTCACCTCCTGCACCCACAAATCCTTTGAGAAAAAGTAAAGTCGGAAGCCCTTTCTTCCTATAAAATAGAGTGGTTTTTGCAGAGTAAAAGAATGTAGACCAACAGGAGCATTTTCATTATTTATTTATTTTGTCTTTTTGAGGCAGGGTCTCGCTATGTAGTTCAGGCTGGCTTTGAGCTCATTTTGTAGCCCAGGCTTGAACTCACAACAATCCTCCTGCCTCAGCCTCCCGAGTGCTGAGATTATAGACGTTCATCACCATGCCTGGCCTAACAGGAGCATTTTTACTGGAAAGGACCCATTATCACCACCCCATTTTGGTAAGGCAGAGTGACTGGTTGGATGAAGAGTTAGACTCCTCTGGAGAGGTCCTGAGCTCTTCTTCCCCAGGGGGAGCCTAGCGCAAATGGCGAAGGTTTGCTAACTCCACTTACACTGACCCTTGAAATACCATCAGCCTCTTTTAGAAAACAAGTAACTTTTCTCCACTTTGGGTGGTTTTCCATTTGAGCCCAGTATGTTAGTGCAGTGTTAGCAGTAAAGACCTTGAGGCGATACATATCTTTGTTATGCTAGAGAGGGAACCCATGACTTCACACATGCTAGGCAAGGATTCCACCGCAGACCCATAACCCCAGCCCCCTTCCTCTTCCCTCCCTCCCTTCCTCCTTCCCTCCCTGCTCCCTCTCTTCCTTTCTTTTCCTTCTCCTCTGTCTCTCTCCAGTTGGAGAGACCCACATTTGCTATTCTGTAGTCACGCAGGCACTTATCCGGAGCAAATGATGAGTGATGATGGTGAAATCGCAGCAATTTCCCTAATTCCTTTATCCACGAATGAGCATCAGCACTGCCACGCACTCCTGTGATGCAAGGGTCCAGGGCCATATTTGACCAACACTGACTCGTTCAATCCTTGTAACATATGTAAGAGGAAGTTTATCAGCCAAGAATTGCTCAAAACTGCCAAGTATCAGAGACCACAGGTAACAAGCGGCTTACCTCAGAGTGAACTTTATTTTTCTGTGTATGTGAGAGAGAGACAGGCAGGCAGAGAGACAGACAGACAGAGACAGAGAGCCGGAGCCTGAGCTGGCTTGTTCCATCTTCTGGACTTTTATTCCATCTGGGCCCCCATCCTCCTATTAACTGAGCTGTTGTGGTTCCCTCAGGATTCAAAACCTTTGCTTGTTTTTACCTTGCAGAAGAGCCGGAAGTTGTACAGTGCCGGATCCTATGAATCAGGTGGGTGAGGAAACAGCTGTGTTTTTACAAGCCTGTCTTTTTGTTGGACGGTGCTCGGCAGCAGCATTCCCTGTATTTTTTAGTGAAACTTCATACAGACACTCAGGAAAGAGGATTTCCGAAACTGCTTCAGAAAGTATTGAGAACAATGCGATAAGTGTGGTCAGAGTGAGGGGTAGTATTTTGAGGGGGATTAATGACAATATTTTTTACTGTAATAATTTTTAAAAATGTAAATATTTGTCATATACTTTGATTACCCCTTGTATATGTTGGTCTGCTTATTTGTGTCAGTACAGCGAGCCCTCAGAGTGAAATGGCTTGGTCAACATTTTGTCATCTGTTGACTAACTGCCCTCAAGAAACACATATTGGCTAGGCATAGTGATGCACACCTGTAATCCCAGCATTTGGGAGGCTGAGGCAGGAGGATGTCTGAGAGTTCAAGGCCAGCCTGGGTTACATAGTGAGTTCAAGACCAGCTAAAACATATAGCAAGACCCAACAAACAAACAAACAAAAAACCCACAAACCATACACACAAAGAAACATTGTACCAGTTTACACCTACTCTTGGTCCCTAATCAATCTTTAACATTTTTGCAGATCTGATAGAAGAAAGTGGTTACATATGAATTCAAGTCATGGCTGCCGACCAGGTGGAACTGGATTTCATAGATGTACCTGCCACTGGCTTTTATTTTCTGTATTGGTCCTTCAGGTGTTTGACCTACAAGAACTTCTATTACACATATGTTTCATATTCTGTTTATTTACCTCTCTTTAAGTTAAAAAAAGTTAGGGCTGGGGATTTAGCTCAGTGGCACAGCACCTGCCTGGAAAGCACACAGTCGTGAGTGCGATTCCCGGTACCGGGGAAAAAAAAAACCAAACCAAACAAAACAAAAAAGTTTAAAAAGTTATTAAGTAATAAGCACACATGATAATTTCAAACAGATGAATTTATGACTGAAAAAAAGAAACCTCTGCTTCAATTTTCCCCATCCCTAGAGAAATTTCTGTTTTTAGATTTCTCAGTGATTACTTGTATAATGAAAACAACATAATTATTTTTTATTTTCTGCCCTATCAACTGGAGATAGTATCAAGCCATTACTTACTGAGAAAAGCGCTGACTCGGTTATAGTTTCTCCTTTTTGCAATTCTCCCAGCTTTTCTTTTATTAAATTTTGTTTGTTTGTATGAGAGAGCTCTGCCACTGAATCACAACCCAGGCCTTTGTATTTTATTTTGAGATGGGGCGGGGTCTCACTAACTTGCCCAGGCTGGCCTTGAACTTGAGGTGCTCCTGCCCCAGCCTCCTGAGTAGCTTGGGAGCTAGGTGTGCACCACCACGCCTGGTCTCTAGCTATTTCTGTAGTTATCAAAAGCACACTTAGACCTCTAGTTCTAATTTGGAAAATGTAGTCTCACTATGTCACCCTGTTTTTCCCTTTTATTCTCACCACTTAGTTATTCAGGAAATGAAGTCATTTATTCTGTAGAACTTCCCGCATTTGCACACACATGGGGTAGCTTCACATATTTTTCCCCTCCCTGTGTAAACTGGCTCAGTTCCATTTTCTGAAAACACTTCCGGGGGTGTGAACACTTCCTGCCCACCACAGTTCCGCAGGGACCACAGCCGATCACCCCCATTTAGCCTGGGGCAGGGCCTCACCCGCTGGCATGGTCTCACCCTCAAGGCCGTTAAGGTCCCCATCCGCCATTGTGACCGTTGTCTAGATCTGTTACTTAGTAGGAGTTGCAGGGCTGGGATACAGCTCAGTGGCACAAGTGCCTGCCTGGCAAGCACAAGGTCCTGAGTTCGATTCCCGGTACCAGCCCCACCCCCACAAAAAAAGGAGTTGCAGAACAGCAAAAATTTAATTTCCTCTGAAATTCAAGAAAACTTCAAGGTCATGGTTTTGTTACTGGTTACCTTGGCATACAGAGTACACAAGGAAGCCAAAGCGTTCACTAATTTTCAGAGTGGGGAGTTGGTTCACCTTTGTTCTCCAAAGGGGACCAGTGAGTCCTATCTTTAGCGTAACTCCGAGCAGATGCGTTTTAACACTTGTGACGCGCTTGAGCTCTTCGGGGTTGCTATCGTTTGATGGCATCACACGCATGCTTAATGGCAGCGTGGCAGGAGCTGCCTGCTCACACTAACTGCACTCCCCACGCACACTAGGTGTAGATGAAGCACTTTCTCTGAACCAACTCACGGAGTCCTCACGCCAGCCTAGAAGTTAGGCGAAACCATTGTATTGTCTCCATTTTGGAGAGGAGGAAACAGGAATACAAAGGACAAACTCCTCAAAGCCACACTTTGTAAGTGGAGGGGAAAGAATTTTAATTTTATTTTATTTTGAGACAGGGTCTCACTATGTAGCCCAGGCTGGCTGCAAACTCAAGGCAACCCTCCCGCCTCAGCCTCCCGAGTGTGGGATTATAGTTGTGCACCACCAGCTCCATTTCATTTTTGTCAGTGTGTGTTCACAGTCCGTAGTGATTACACAGAGCTGGGGGAGGGGGTACGTGTTCACAGCACACCTTCATTCTCGTTTTACTTCCTTCCCCTCCCTCCTCCCTCCCTCCCTCCCTCTATCCCTCTATCCCTCCATCTCCTGGTCTGGGAAGGAAAGAATTGGAAGGCTGCAGTCTGGCTCCTCAGAAACGCGTGGCTGAGGGTAAAACACCTCCCTCAGCAGGGTTGGGTGAGGCTCCATGGGATTTTGCCCATGGCTGGCGTAGATGGTGCTCGGTCACCACAATGTCTCTGTCCTTTCATCCTGGCAGTGTGAGGGGCACCGGGGCCGCATGGCGTCCAGGCCCACAGAGCCGGTCACCATCCTCAGCCTGCGCATGCTCAGCCACTCGGGCCCGGAGCCACCGCCCCAGAAAGGTAAGGGCCCCGCTCTCCAGCGCTGCTGCGCCCGTGCGGGGTGACAGGAGGGTGACAGGAGGCACTGGGACCCCGCACCGCCTTCTCTCGCACACAGCTGCGCCCCCGTGCCCTCCCTCGTCAGAGCCCAAGACGTTCACGGTGGAGGACGCGGTGGAGACCATCGGCTTCGGGCGCTTCCACATCGCCCTGTTCCTGATCATGGGCAGCACCGGGGTGAGTGAGTGCCTCTCGGGGCTCCGTGGTCTCCCCACCGGGCTCCCTGCTTGGCACTTGGGCTGTTTCTGGAGTGTGGAAGGGAGCAGGTGCTGGGCTAGGGACACACAGATGTTGTGTCTCTGTGCCCTGAGAGTCAAAGCTCACATTTAAAATGGTTTCAACGGAGGTATGGGGACAGGAGAAACCCTGGTATTATTCCGCGTAGGGTCAGACGCAAGGCTCCCCAGTTTTCTTTCTATTTTGAGACAGGGTCTCACTCTGTAGCCCCAGGCTGGCCTTAAACTCAGGTCGATCTTCCTGCCTCAGCCTCCCAAGTGCTGGGATTACAGGTGTGCACCACCACGCTGGCCTCCAGACATTTCTGCATCCCAGTAACCCAGGACACCTGCTGTCCTTATTTTCGGGGCACAGGTGGAGGCTTGTTATTTACTGCCATGGGTTGAGCGTGTCTCAGCTCCAGCTGTGGCCAATGTGGTAGGCGATTAGGGGGCCTCTAGGAGGTGCCTGGGCCACTTGGGCATGTGGGTGTTGGAGACCAGGCTGTCCGGGGTTAAGCTGCTGAACGGAGGGACCTCTGGCCGTGTCAAAAAACCTCAAATTCACAGTCTTTAGAGGACAAGATAGGCTGCCACTGTAAGGCTGACGCTCCTTATCCCAGAGCACTAAGACTGTCAGCCTTGACATCAACCAGTCCTCTTCCTTACCGAGATTACTACCTTTGTTCTAACTTCTTCCGTGCTCCTCATTTCCTGCACCCCCCATCTGTAGAAACCCAATAAATATGGGTGCTCCAGAGCATGTCTTCGGTCCAGCTGCTCTCTAATCCCTGGCGCCTCCTGCCTCAGCCTCTCAAGTAGCTGAGACTACAGAGGCAGTTTTCTGCTCCTTATAAGTTATGGGATCTCACCAGGCATGGTGGTGCACGCTTGTAATTCCAGCCCTCAGGAGGCTGAGGCAGGAGGATCCCAAGTTTGAGGCCAACTTGGGGAATTTAGCCATACTTTGTTGTGGAATTGTAAGAGGGCTAGGGGTGTAGCTCAGTGGAAACATATTGGCCCAGCATGTGTGAGGCCCTGGGTTCCATCTCCAGAACCGATAAACTTAGATGCATGGTGATAATGCAGGGAGGGAGAGGAAACGGTGACCAGCAAAAAAAAAAAAAAAAGTGACTTGGGAGGGAAGAGGGAAGGGAACACCAGCGAGTGCTGACTGCATGTGAGGAAGAGAGGTGTGTGGCACAGGGCATCCGACACTCCTGTCTCAGGAGGCGGACACAGGAGACAAAAGGGACAGAGCTGGGCGTGGCAGTAACACCTGTAATCCTAGACTCAGGAGGCTGAGACAGGGGGATCCCTGTGAGTTCAAGGGCAGTCTGGGCTATGTGGATGACCTTGTTGCAAATGAATGAATGAGGTCGAGTATTTTAGTCTAATTTTTATGATAACCAGCAACACGATGTAGAACGCTTCCCTGCTGCAGAGCAAGGTCTCCAGAAGTGCTGCAGATCACAGGTTCAGTACTCAAAGGACAGGTAATTGTGCCCACGTGGGGGCTGACCCAGCTCTCGTCCACTTCCAGAGAGTCTCTGCAGGAGTCAAATGGCGTCTGCCCTCTGCTTTGCTTTTCTTCAGTACTGAGTATTGAACTCAAGGCCTTTGCACTGAGCTGCAGCCCTAGTCTTTTTTCGTTTTTATTTAATTTTGAGGCAGGGTCTTGCTAAGCTATGAAGTTGCCCAGGCTGGGCTTGAATTTGAGATCTTCCTGCCTCAGCCTCTCAGACTGCTGAGATTACAGGTGTGCACCTTCTTTCAGTCTGTTTCGATTCCTCCCAGCTTGCCTGCTGAGAAGCGTTCTTTCCCTGGCCCCCATCCCTGTCCCTCCCACATGCAGGGGAGAACAGAAGTGCCGACCTGCGTGTAGTCAGAAGAGCCCTCTCCTGGCCTTAGGCTAGGAGGCCTTGTGGGTCCCGTCCTCAGAATGGTCCCGTCCATGGCAGTGGGCATACCCTGCACCCTGGGCCTGGCTGAGGAGGGCTGAGGAGGGCTGAGGGAGCGGCACCTGGGCCTGGCGTGATTCTCACTTCTTCAAGGTGGTGGAGGCCATGGAGATCATGTTAATCGCTGTGGTGTCCCCTGTCATCCGCTGTGAGTGGCACCTGGAGAACTGGCAGGTGGCATTCGTGACCACGGTGAGTACCTGCGTCCCTTGCTGTGCAGGCGCAGCTGAGGGGCCGGCGCCCCTTCCTGTACCCACGGGAGCATTCGCCACCGCTGGGCCCCACCGCACCGGGGCCTCTCTCCCTCCCCAAGCAAGAGTCGGGGCGGGGGAATCGCACCAAGGAGGCGGCCCTTACCTCGAGGGTCGGTCATGGGCTGACACAGGCTGGCTACGTGACTACAAGCCGGTTACTTGGGCTCCTGGGGGGAAACCAGTTGCCCGCACTGAATGGCGTTATTACTCAGTCACCTTCTCTCAAAGACCAGGACAAGCACACAGCCACACAAGCTGCACACTACGTTTTGCTGCCAAGCAGAATTCAACAAGTCACCTGTCATTCTCTCAAAAGCCATAATTGGCAGCAGCTTTGGTGTGCGTGGACAGTGAGAAGGGAAAGTGAGGTTTAGGGTGACTCAGTCTTCACGTAGGCTCCATCCTACTGGCCCTGCTCCCCAGCGCTGGGCCCGAGCACACAAACCTCTAAGGAAAAAATATTCGATGCAAATAATGTATCTGCCATTTTGTACACAGTCATTAGGTTTCTCCTTAAGTGGATCTGAAAATACTGCCCCCGACTCTTTTAGAAAGGGTCTCGCTATGCAGTTCAGGCTGGCCTTGAGCTCACTACATAGCCCAGGCTGGTCTTGGACTTGCAACGATCCTCCTGCCTCAGCCTCCTGAGTGCTGGGATTACAGGCGTGCGCCACCACACCTGGCTCCTTTTTGTTTTAAAACTCTACTGGTTTTAGAAAAAGTACTAAAGAGTAATAAAGTTAACCAGAGGTTGCACTTAGTCTTGTAATAAAATGACACCACTGTTTCATTTTCTTCTACATAGACTGTCTAGTTACAGTTTACAAAGCATTACTTGTCAATGCTTTTTTTTTCTTTTTTTGTGGTACTGGAGATTGAACCCAGGGCTTTTGCAATGAACTACATCAAACTCTGTTTAAAAATTTGTGTGTGTGTGAATTTTGAAATTGGGGTCCTCCTAAATCACCCATAATGGACTCTAACTTGTAATCCTCCTGCCTCAGCCTCTCAGAGTACTGAGATTACAGGCATAAACCACCACACCACTGTACATATAATTATAACTGCTTTGTACCTCACTAGATTTGTAGTAAGCAGACTTAGATCCTGAGAATACTGGAGATCCAGATGTGACACTGGTACCTGTCATGGCCGTGAAATTGTATTATGCAGTAGTTTTTAGATTATGTGGTACAATTTTTATGTTATGCTGCATGATATATAGTGATAGCTCACATCTCACTGGTTAGACTTATACTGTTTCCTAATTCTGCCTGAAAAGTTTCCTCAGTAGCCGCAGTTGGCTGATTTACCTCTTCCAGCGGCTCACAGCTCAGACTGGGTTATGACCCTCACTGAGGAAGTGACCATTTCCGGCTCTCCCAGCCCCTCCTGGTCCTGGCTGTGAAGCCGCCTGACCCTGGCTTCTGCCGCTGGGCTCACTGACCAGCCACTCTTGGAGCCACGAGGCCACATTTCCACCATCTCCTGGGCTTCCCAGCCCTAACTGCAACTCCACACTCTCTACCATGGCCTGAGCAGCTGCTCGTCGAGTAGCTAAGGGTTGCGGGTTAATTACCTCCCCTCACTCTGGGAATCAGTCATTCAGTGCTGGAGAATCAGCTCCACATGGTGCTTAAACCAGAAGCGTGAGAGTCACTTTTTATATTAAAAGTAAGCACCTGAAGGAAAGCGCAGGCTGCCGGTTTCCTGTCTGCATGCGTTCTCCCAGGCTGGGTTGCAGAATTGCAGGTTTACAAGCTTCAGGGCCAACCTAGGCTGTGAATCAAGGTCTCTCTCTCTCTCTCTCTCTCTCTCTCTCTCTCTCTCTCTCTCTCTCTGTCTTTTTTCTGGTCTTTTTGAGACAGGGTCTTGCTATGCAGTTCAGGCTGGCCTTGAGCTCTCTTTGTAGCCCATGCTGGCCTTGAATTTAACCTGCCTCAGCCTCCCGAGTGCTGGGATTACAGGTGTGCACCACCATGCCTGGTGTGAATTAAGGTTTCTGTCCTACAGAGCACAGAGCAAAAGCATAGCTTTCATTATTCAGGAATATACAGGATTTTGCCTTGTGGTTGCCTTTGACAGACTGAGCCTGGGTCTCTTGAGGAAGTTAGGAGGGGGGAGAAAAGCCACCTTCTCCCGGAAGGTGGTGGAAGCTAAGCTACCCATTTCCTTTGACTCTCCTGGGATGGAGCTGTGGAAGCAAAAGACCTAGCTGGAAACAGCTGGAGGTGGAGAAATACATAGCCGGAAGGTGCTGACAGCTGCTTTCATCTCAGGAGGAGCAGGGATCTTCTCTGATTTTATCAGAGGAGGACAAGCTATCGTGAGAACAAGAAAGGAGAAGTAGGTTCATGTTAGGGTGTATATTTATTTTGAGGAGTTTATTTATTTGTACTGGGAATTGAATCCAGGGCTTTTGTACCAAGCTACATCCCCAGCTCTTTTTCTATTTTGTAGTTCTAGTCAGGGTCTTGCCTATTTGCTAAATCGCTCAGGCTGAATTTGCCATTCTCCTGCCTCAGCCTCACAGAGTGCTAGGATTTTGCTAGGATTACTGGCGTGCACCACCACCATTTGCAGAGTTCTTTCTTTTTTTTTTTTTTAAAGTAGATGATTTGGTTTGGGTGTTTGTGTGAAGTTTGTTGACACACACGAACATAAAGGAAGACTGCTTCTCCTGACCTCTGCTTGCATTGGAATAGGGCAGGGCAGGCTGAATGGACATGTCTGTGATTACCGCTGAAATTCACAGTTATAGCCTGGGTCTGGCCAAGGCCGTCATCTGAGTGTCAGAGGGAGTACAGCCACCGCCTTCTGGCCTCATCTCCTCAGGGGCAGTGTCTGAAGGTATGGGGTGTCCCACAGGAAGCAGAATCCGCTGTCTTGGAGCCCTGGGAGGTAGTGTAGGGAAGCCCCTTTAATTCCCATGTGTCCTGCCTTTCCACTCCCTTCAGCTAAGCTGGATGAGCGCATAAGTGAGCATCTTAGCTGGGCCTGCTGAAGCACTGCTTGTCCCTCCTTCCTCCAGATGGTGTTTTTTGGCTACATGGTGTCCAGCATCCTCTTTGGGCTCTTGGCTGACAGATACGGCCGCTGGAAGGTAGGTTGGATGTGGCAGGATTGGGAATTTTCTTTGAGGCAGTCTTTTGTGGGCATCACGCTCTGGCTTCTCTTCCATAGACACTCTAAAGTCCAAGATGGAAAATGCAAGAAATTCCCTGCCCTGACAGAACATTTCTGAGTTCTGTGCTTGTCATCCTTGTTTTACAAATTGTCCCCACACCTGGCATCCTAGAGTCCAGGGACAGCCTTGACGGGTCAGAATGCAGGAATTTGCAAGATAGCTGCACGTTAGTTAACTTTGGTACAGCTGTGTGGCTGGGCAGAAGATTGAGGGTCTTCTGATTTTAAACCTGGGTCTCCTCTTGTTTATTTTAAAATTTTATTTATTTTGGGACAGGGTTTCCCTGTGTAGTGCAGGCTGGCCTTGAGCTCGCTTTGTGTCCCAGGCTGGCCTCAAACTCATGGCGATCCTCCTGCCCCGGCCTCTGAGTGCTGAGCTTACAGTCCTATTTTAGTCTGTCTAAAATCACACAGTCTTCTAAATTAACATGAAATCAGAAGTATCTCAGAAAGAAAAAAACTCATAAAAAAGCATTTTATAAAAGAAGAGGGTCAGGGATATAGCTCAGCGACATAAGCCCCTGCCTGGCCAGGGCAAGGTCCTAAGTTCGATTTCCGGTACCAGAAAAAAAAAAAAAAAAAAAAAAAAAGAAGAAATGTAACTGATAAAAAAACCTCGAAAATATAATCTCAGGAGTTAACAAAAGCAAAATCACATAGCAAGGTATTATTTTTCCTTATGAAATTAATATTAAACTTTGAGCCCAAAAGGCATTTTTCTTTCTTTTCTTTTTTATTTTGGTACCAGGAATTGAACCCAGAACCTCACGATTACCAGGCAGGTACCGTGTCACTGAGCTATATCCTTGACCTCCGTAAGGTGTTTTTCTTAAGCAGTCTTCCATTGTTGAAATCGTGCTTTAGAAATACAGACATCCTCATGTACTATATATAGGTACTGCCAGAAACCAGAAATAGGTTGCCCCAAAACATGACTTTTTGAAATAAAATTATTTTGGAGCTAATGGCAATTAAGCAGCAAAAGGAAGAAAAACTCTTGACTCCTCCTGCTTTTCTGCCCAAGTCAGGACCCAAATTCTACTTTGCTGGAGATAATTGCGGACTCTTAGACTAGAGAAGGTTGCAGAGGAGCCTGCAGACCAACTGCTCCACTCCTTCCCTCCCATGTATTAATTTCTCACATCCGGAAGCCCACAGCCGCTTTCATTTGACACTGCTTCTTTAAACCCCAGGCTCTCCGCTGGGTTCTGAGCCACACCTCTGAGATGCTTCTCCCTGGCTTGGCTTGTTGGAGGCGGGTGTTAAAGTGTTCGGCTCTTGTCTCCTTCAGCTGTCTTGTGTTTCAGGGTCCAACTCAACTAAGAACTCAGAGAGTGAGAACCACTGTTCCTTCCCCATCAGTATAATTTCTCTGATCCTCAGCGCGGCAGTGCAAATGATGAATCTGGAAAGGATCCACTCTCGTAACCTGATCCCTTGCCTTGCAGTGATCTAGCTGGCTGAGATGGTCAGGGAGGATGTGAAGTTGTACCCACAGATACTGTCCCTGTTTATTTTCATAGTGAGCAAATTGGAATCAGCCCCTGTGTTCAACAGTAGGGTGTATAATCAATATATAGGTGTTTTTCCAATTTATGTTTTATATTACATGTATTATATCTTTCTTCTGGAATATTTTATAGCCGTTACAAATTTGCTTTCCTTTACAAGGAAAATAGGATTTTAAAAGTCTTAAGGGTATTTTCTCTGGGTTGGAGAATCAAAGATTTCAATTTGTTATTCTTCCTTATTCTTTACTGTGAACTTTTTTTTTGTCTTTTTGAGGCAGGGTCTCACTATGCAGTTCAGGCTGGCCTTGAGCTCACTTGATAGCCCAGGCTGGTCTCAAACTCTCAAAGATCCTCCTGCCTCAGCCTCCTGAGTGCTGGGATTACAGGTGTGCGCTACCAAGCCCTTCGAACTTGTATTATTCTTAAGATTTTTTTTTTTTTTCTACCAAACTCAGGACCTTAGACTTGCCAGGCAAGCACTGTGCCACTGAGCTATATCCCCTGCCCTAAACTTGTATTATTCTTGTAGAGATAAAGCAAATACCTCGTTTTCGCCCTATCATTACCCTAACTTGGTACTGTACTTCACTGAGCTCACACCCTGGGTGTAGGGAAACAGACCTTTGCTTTCTCACGTACGGTTCCAGTCCCTGCCGCCTGTTACAGCAGGAACAGAGGATGCTGGAGAACCTGGAAGGTGTGGCCTTTCCAACAAGAGATCGGCTGGAGTGAGCTGATGACTGAGAGGCCAGGCTGCTGCTGTTTGTTAAATAAACATCTGGACAGAAAGGAAAAATCGCCTTGAGAAGGCGGCTTCTCTTCCCTGCCCCCGTCTAGCGCAGGTCCGTTGAATGAGTTCTCTTTTCTTGGCCCAGATTTTGCTCCTCTCCTTCCTGTGGGGCGCCTACTTCTCTTTGCTGACCTCCTTCGCACCTTCGTACGTCTGGTTCGTCTTTCTGCGGACCATGGTGGGCTGCGGCGTGTCCGGCCACGCACAAGGGTAAAGACTGCTCCGGGGAATCCCGGGGGGAAGAATGCTCCAGCCCACAGGCATTTACACACGGCGAATGGGAAGAATAGATCAACAACCTGTAATAAACAGACTTTACTAGCACTGATTATTTTTGAGTTTTTTGAAAGTAATGGCTTCAGAATCCATTAGGAGCCCTTTGCCACTGAAATAATGCTCCATGGTAAAGTTTACAGAATGTTAGATTGCACTTATGTTATTCCCCCCCGACCCACCTTTCAAAGGCTAATCATTAGTTTTTAGACATGCACAATTTTGTTAGACCAACGAAGTTTGTATTTAGAGTGTAGTTTGGCCATCAGGAATAGCTGATTTGAAGTGCCACTGCCCTGTGATAGCAGACTGTTCCCAGCGAGAATTTACTGCTGAGACCAATTGATGTTTAGCCCCGGAGGATAACTAGGCCTGGGCTTCTTGGTTATAGTGTAGCCTCCTGGAAATTAGCCAGGCTCCTCCAGCTATGCTCTCCCCAAAGCCTGGAGCAAGTCACATAGAAACTATCAGGAGATGTCAGAGCACCTAATTGTTGCCTTAATGTGTTGGCGAAGGAATTGTTCTTCCCTAGGGCATAAGTTAAGCAGCTCTCTGAGTTTTGGAGCCCTAAAGGAATAGAAGATAAGTAGATTTTTTTTTTTTTTTGGTCTTTCTGAGGCAGGGTCTCATTATGCACTTCAGGCTGGCCTTGAGCTCACTTTGTAGCCCAGGCTGGTCTTGGACTCATAGCAATCTTCCTGCCTCAGCCTCCCTAGTGCTGGGATTACAGGCGTGCACCACACACCCTCCTAAATTTACTTCTTATTGGTTTCTTCGGTGCATATTAGCCATAACAATTGCATTTTGATGCACAATGAGATATTATTTTTGATTTCTTTATTGTTTTGATTTCTTGTGACCAATGAAATATTGTTTTGATTTCTTGTGACCAGGAAGATTATGGTTGTTTAAAAAAAAGTCATCTGGCTTTATAGAAACAAAAGTATCATGTTTTTTTTCTCTTTCCCATTTAGGCTAATTATAAAGACTGAATTTCTGCCCACAAAATATCGAGGCTATATGCTTCCCTTGTCTCAGGTAAGGTGAAACTGGAATTCTACCCCGTCTTCTGCATCTGATAGGGTGTGAGGCACGTGGATTTTCTTCTGACTTTGGCTAGAGTTCTGCCTGTTATTCAGCACCAGCTAAAAGCACTGAGAGTGCTTGGATCTGAGAATCCCACTGCAAGGTCTCCTGAGCCCAGGACATCTGTCAGCCAAGGTGGAACTGGAGTACAGCACTAGCTCCCTTTGTGACTGTGTTTCTGCTTGGCTTATGCGTGGCGATCATCCCTGCTCTGCCCCGCACCTGGCCGTGTCCCCGCCAGGCAGGCAACTTCCTGGTCTCCTTGGCTCCTCTAACCCACCCCAGTGATGTTAGCTTTCTGTTAATGGCTGTCCCTTGGCATCTGAGGGGACTGGTTCTGGGACCCAGATGGCCCAGGAGTCTGAGGATGCCTAAGTCCCTCCCATATTGAGTCCCGGTGCCATATATGATGTTCATATATCCTCTTACCCACATTAACACACCTCTGGAGGATTTATAATATCTAGTGAGTGGTATGAAAAGAGTTGTTCTATTGCACTGTTTAGGGAATAATGACAAAGCCCATACCTGTTCCGCTCAGACACAATTTTTTTCTTTGTTGTTTTTTTTTCTTTTGGTACCAGGAATCAAACTCAGGACCTTGCGCTTGCCAGGCAGGTGCTGTGCCGCTGAGCCATCTTCCTGGCCCTTTTCTGAGTATTTTTCACATGTTAAGAGTATGCATGTGGAATCCGCGGATGTTAAGTCACAGGGCGCTCAAGGACCCCTCTCCTCCCTTCATCCCACTCAGTCACCCACCTGGTGACTCATCACCGTGATTTGAGTGTCTGTCAACAAACCTTCTGACACTTCTGCTTCTAAAGTGTGTGCCTAATTAAAAATCATTTTGCATTTTACTACTGAAATCCTACCCAGTGCCACCTCACTTTTACTGGGGCTATACCAGTGGCCTTATTTGTTGTATGTTCACAAAAGTTAACCCTACCCAAGTCACTCTCCATCACATTATGACTTCTTTGCAGCCCTAATCACCTTCTGACATATTTTTTTTTCTTCTGAAATAGTTTTGACTGTAGAATTCTTTAATGAAATAGCACTCCTTAATTGATTCTCTAAAGGATTATTATTATTATTATTATTACTATTACTATTATTATTATTATTATTTTGGCATGGTACTGGTTTTGAACCCAGGGTCTTGCAAGCACTCTGTCACTTTGCTGTACTCCTAGCCCTTTTTATTTTTTTAATTTGAGACAGGGTCTTACTAAATTGGCCAGGGTAGCCTGGAACTTGCAATCATCCTGCCTCAGCCTCCCTCTCAAGTAGCTGGGATTGCAGGTGTGCACCCCTGCACCTGACCGAAAGAATCTTCTAACATGTTCCCTTCCTTGTCGTCACATGGGGAAGAATGCTCAGGCCAGTGGTGACAGGGATTCTAATTCCTGATGCTTGTGGCTGTAGTGGGTTCCATGTGATTCCCTGATATAAAATTATCTCTAAAATAGCCAGATGTGGTGCACACCTATAATCCTAGCACTTGGGAGGCTGAGGCAGAAGGATCGCCCAGAGTTCAAGTTGAACCTGAATTATAGAGCAAGACTTTCAAAAAATAGCAGGAGCAGCAACAAAAAATACCCCCCAAATCTCTAAGATATATTTTTATGTGCAAAAAGCAAAGTATGGAGTATTATGTGTACTGCAGTGCTGCTTGTGGGGAAGAAGAACAAAAATGTATCCTTATTAGCTTGTGTATGTCTAGTAGAGCTTTGAAAGGGTGCAGAAGAAACGTAATATTAGAGAAAGGAGATGGCAATAAGTAGGAGAAGAGAATATGTTCACAGTCTCCCCTGTGACTCTTGTGTGAGGGTCAGTGGTCACCTGCTTAAGAAAGAAAAGCCCCGATCTGATATTCCTGTTCTACCGGAGGTTTT